CTCTCTCTCTCTCTCTCTCTCTCTCTCTCTAAACGTATCTTTACTCTCCTGATGCTGCGTTGAATTGCGTGAAATCGATAGCCCGAAGCAAAAAGGACCTTCATTTATGATTTTTCCTGCTGGACACGTATGTTCAATTGTAATTATATCAAATGCACTCCGGAAGGCCTTCTATTGATGTAAGTAGGTAATAACTTCGTAGCAATCTTTTCCTACGTATATCTCCGTAAACTTCATAACAATTCACAGTGCATATCAACTGTATGATATAAGTTCTTGAAAGTAGTGTTTAGAAATTTTGGATTATGTAAAATATGGTTGACGGTACTTCAATTTGATCGTTCTTGGTTAGGAATACTGCCTTTTTCCTTGTGAAAAGTTAAACCGCAAAATATATACACGATGCTTCACATCTGGAACCTTGCAGTTAGTGGAATATGTGCTCATAGAGTAGTTTGCATCTTCTTTCATTTTCTTTTATCTTCCTTGCTGTCCCCATCTCTATCATCTTACTGTAATTATGAATGAGATGTATCTGCTCGTTAGACAGATATCCGCCTGTTAGACATTTAATGAACTTTATGAATATAGATACCAATCAACACCTAAGATGATGACTTGAGAAGTACAGCTTTTTGGTTCACGTTGGCTGCTTGTTAACCTGTCAAGTGTTCATAACACTATAAGACAAGTACTTAACATAAAATGTGACCCTGTTTCTCTTTTTGTCTACTTGCCGATTCATTCTTAGATACACCACTGCTGATTCATATGCTCAAGAATGCTACCAATTTGAATATTCTTGTATGGATAGTGATGGGGCCTTCAAAAACGTGTAATCTGCCTTGATTGAGTGCATGATATGAGTATAACAATGATACATTTGACTATGGCTTTCCATGATGAGGGACCTCCAATTCGAAAGGGTGCAATTAAATTAATGCCGAGTATCATATACCTTTATTTGACGTCATTCAAATTCATTGTAGCTAGAAAAATTAGAGCATTGATCAAGTGATTTGTTAAGAGGATATTTTGATAATGTTGCATTGTTTTCACATGACACCTATTTCTGCTGTCTTCTAACCAATCTATGATTGTTATTTTAGGGGTCTGGTTGAGAAGCATGGTTGGCCCATTTAACCTAGTATGAAGAAGTTCGTCTTGTATTGTTTTCTTTTCCAAATGTTATACTCATTACTAATACCTTGTTGGACAACCTTTTTTGGTTTTTTTTTTTATACCGAACTTTTTAGTGTCAACATCCTATTCAAATTATGGAGTAATGTTTTTTGCTTATAAATTTCTGTTTTATGTGGTTGTGCTTCTTTAGATTCACTAATGAATCATGACCAATCTTTTCTTCTATATTTGTAGTATCTCCGCACACTTGAATTTGGTTTTCTACCAACCATAGCCATAAAGAAGTTACGATTGTAGTATTACCTCTCAAAAAGATTTTTTTAATTCTTATCTTCTTGTATTGTTTTCTTTTTTCTTGTCGGCATTCTCTTTTGCACAAGTGACATTTATTTTAGGTTATTTTTCAATCTACATCTTTTTGCAGATGTTCATGATACCTGGTACCGCATTCTTGTTATTACTGGCTGGATCTCTTTCGGGGTCATAAAAGGTGTTATTCTGGTAGTTCTCTGTGCAACTTATGGTGCTTCATCCTGGTACTTCTTTGTGCATATACTTGTTTCTGTATGTATGAAACGGAAGTAACATAATTTAGCTTGAATTTCTTATTAGCATGATTGCGAAATCTTCATTATCAAAATTTTTCCCTTGTCATTTTTCCACAAATGTACAAAATGCATTTAAGATGAGAAAATTTGCAGCATCCACTAAAATCCTTGCAAGTCCATATGCCTTTTCTGGATAATCTTGTTGCACCTGACTATTTAATTGAACAAGGCTCTGGTGAGTTATTGAATAACATCTTATTCTTTATTTGACTTTTCTGGTTTGTTTCTCGTTTTCTTTAGATCAATTTGACTTGATGGTTAGACAACTTTACATGCTCTTGACAATAAGATGTTTCTATACTCACTCATGTACCTTCAGGGTGGCCTTGCTCGTTAGGGATCTGTATGACTTGGAGACATAGGTAATTCTGTTCCTTATCGGATTTGTTTCCATATTTTTCGCACAATTCTAAATCCCAATTTGCTTGGATATTTTGATTCTGTTCTTGGCTTTATAACTTCAATATAAGTTTCGTTTTACTGCAAAAGAAAAAAGAGTTGTATCGATTTTTTTCCTTTCCAAAAAACATATTGCTCACCCTCACAGGAACACCAGGAAAAGGGCGAAACATAGAATGCTCAGCCATGGCTTAGCATGTCAAAGGCTGTTTCATAAACATATCCTTTATTAGAAGGTAGATTGTAGAATCACAATGCAATATTTGGTTGGTAAATCAACAATTGAATTTTTCGTTGTTGTAGATATTGGCTTGGGCTGGTGATTGGTTCATGTGCCACCGGTGCTGAGTGTTAATGACACTGGTAGTTAGATGGGAACCACTGACATCAATGGACGATGTGACCAGGTTGTAGACTCCCTCTGGAGTTCGCGATGTGGTTCGATTACATTTAATGGTTGTATATGGTCATGGACTTCCCATATCGTAGAGAGATGATGTCTTTTCTTTCTTTGATTGTTACAGCACATTACGGGTTGCAGCGGACCTGAGTCTAACGTCCGAGCTTGTGGCAAATTTGGGAGCGGAGAACATGGTGGTTCGGTGGGATGCTCTACAAAAAGTGTTGGGACGCATGCGATAAAATTAGTGGAGTAATTAAATATTATGTTGTATGAGAGTTATTTCACAGGATAATTACGTGGAATCGTCGGTTCATTACTCGATCGTATGATTAGATGCTCGAGGTGGTGTCGAATCTGCCATGGCACTGTGATCGATGTGTCAGATCAATAAAATATGTGATAGATGATGATGGGATCAGATTGCAAAGCATGCTGCTATAACTCATCGTCCTAAATCTGGCCTCATCAAGTTTGACATCGTTCATGGACCGCTTCCGCTTCCAGCGTAGGCAACCCTCCATGGAGATCTATCAGGAGAAGGAAAACTTCTGAACAGACCTCCACTGAACTCGAGTCTGTCCAAATGCTACTTTTGCTTTACATCATCAAATCAAAGATGCCAGCTTGTGGGCTCAAACACACTCACTCTATGCCGGTTTTGCTTAACTCATAGACTGGAGTCCGGTGTGCACTGCTCTCTGCCACCGTCATCTCCAATCCAAGTGCCCGACAACGTCGACCCAACTTGCCATTCTTTTGCGCCACTTACCCTCGTCAGCCAAACCAGCATCCGGCGCAGGTGGTGGGCCGCTGCGCAATTATGACTCCCGGAGAACAGGGAATAGCCTTCTTCCTCTTCCTCTTCCTCCGGTGAGTTCAACAAGGATAATGGTCCCTGGGGGACGGGGGAAGGAGGCAGGACAGGAGATCTCCGCTGGATCTCAAGTCCTTGTCCGGGTCTTTTTAAGGTGGACGGACGGTTTGCTGGATTGCGTGCCGGGCGCGAAGGGGAAGGGGAAGCGGGGTGGCGGACGCAGAGGCCGAGGCAATAACTTGGTGGCGAAAGCTTTCTTAGATGCCCCATTGAGCTAATAATGGTTTGTGGTGTCTTGCGTTCCGTGGCGAGTGGCTGAGTGGGTTGGGCGGTGGAGATGACCTCATCCGAGCTTTCCAACGGAGCGGTCAACCTCCCGGAAGGACCCAATAATATAATACAAGTATTATGGCGTTGCAAGCAGCCTTTTTTTCTTTTCGGGCAAAAGTGCCGTGGGATGCTCGTCTGTCCAGGGTGTGAGGTTTTGGATGGATGGGTTGGAGAGCATGTACTTACTTCTCAGGAACCACTGGCCCTTCACCAATCTGTTCATGCAATCATGCACGTCATTTTTATGATCTGTGAAGCACAGTAGCAAAGACCGAAGAATAGTGGATATGGATTCAGCAGTGAGTTAATACTTGTGCTGTGTTGGAATCACCCTCAGGAACCCTAGATTTCTTCTGGACTAACTCATTTTGACCAAGTCAGATCAAACCCAATTAAAGATGGTCGTGGCAGGAGCTTCTGCATATCCCAATGCACAAGGAGATAATTTATGATTGGATGGGGGGAAAAAAAAAAGGCCCTATCCAAGTCTGGCCGATAGATTGCATGTCAGTGTCGCAGTCGACGTGTCGACGGTCCGGCCAGGCCATTAGCTCTCGTGTTCCGGTCCACGTACGGAGATGAGAGAATTATTGAGGAGGAGGAGGAAGAAGTGGAGGCATGCGGTCGCCATGGATTGATCGCCGCAGTACAGCGCTGCGCCACCACAAGTGCCTCAGGTACGCGGCAGCGTATCGTCTGCGCCACAAGCGCTGCATCTCCAGGTTTAGTGGGGGGGTGTGTCTTCTGCTTCCTCCTGTGAAGTGCTGAAGGAAACGGAGGGGGAGGACAGCGGCGAAACGAGGAAGGAGGTGTGACATGAGATCTGGTGGAGATTGTCGTCGGACCCGCGGGATACGGGTCGTACCACAAGCACTCCATTGGGTCGGAGGCCGGGCATCGGGACCCGCTTGTCCGGGGGTTGCCGGCCCGCATCCATCTCCATCGCTCCAATCATTCCACGACAACGCATGGTTAGGCATCACTTCTTGGATTCAGCCTCGTCCTTTTAAGGCAGATCTACTCCTGCAATCTGCTCGTCTTCTTTGGCCTGTGTCATCCAACTCCAAATCGCAGCCACATCGATGGAGCGAGAGTTCTCACAGAATGGATCGCTTGGGTTAGCGGTCCACAGACAGAGAAGGGAAGCCGAGTAGGATGGGATGCATCGGAGGTCTGCGACTGGTCCACGGTGGCCATAAAGTTGCTCACGAGGGACTGTGCCACCCGACCTTGCACATTGCGGAAGATTGCTATCTTTTGTAATAGGAAACGCATGGAAATAAAAGACGAGCAGAGATCAGAGAGCAGAGAGAGCAGAGAGCAGAGTGCAGGAAAAGGATCACAGTCAGTAGAGATGGGGTGGATGGCACTCGACCACGTACTACACATTCTCGAGTATCTGCCCATTTATTTCATGAAGCATGAAGCAGCATAACTTTGACAAATGTAGTATAATGGGAGTCAGGGTTTGACATTGAACAATGGACATCCATGCCAAGTGTTGAAGTCCCCTTGAAAAGATCTCTCTGTGTATTAGCTCCTTCTTCCATTTGTTTTCCTCCATGGTGTTTGAAATATGCAGAGAGCCCATTGACGAGTGATGTGAAAGAAAAGGTGGGAAAATCTACAACATATAAAGCCGGAAAAGGAGGGTTTGATTGTGTCGAGAGAGAGAGAGAATGGTGGTGGTGGAGGGCCCTGGTGGTCGGCTAATTGTTCCATAGAGAGAGAGAGAGAGGAAGAGAGAGAGAGAGTTCTTGTGCTACAAATACCACCACTCTCCTCCCTTGTTTCGCATCAGCTTGGCCTCAGACGACACATCACACGCTCTCTCTGAGAGAAGGGTGGTGGACGAGAGGAAGAGAGGGATCACAGAGCGTGACACCTCTCTGACTGTTTCCATCTCCTTCAACATCAACCAAGTGCTTAGCTTCCTTTCAACTGTGGGCAGTATTCATACTTGTTTGAGGTGATTACAGTCTCATAAACTCATCTCTGCTTAGCAAGACACTGTCCTTCTCCCGTCCTCTGAATTCTTATTACTTTGCTTTGTTCTCTTTAGAGTGTACTCTGTATACGAACCATCAAGTTGCGAACTTTGCGGCCGGAGGATGTCGGTGGCTCTGCTGCAAACACCCTTACACCACCTGGAGTACGGCTGGCCGCGGCTGGAAGATAAGTACGAGACTAGGTATGATCATGTGGTGGGTATTGAAGACGAGGAGGAGCGGCCTGGCCAATTCGACATGTGGAGCGCCATGCAGGCGCCGAAGGCCGCCACTCCGGTGGTCGCCGATACGCCGGCTCCTTATGTTCATCCGCTGGCGAGGCGGTCCGCGAGCTCGCTGAGCCAGAAGAGCCTCCAGATATGCACGGAGAGCCTGGGGTCGGAGACTGGCTCCGATGAGTTCTCCTCGTTTAACGACGGCGTCGATTTTGGGTATCTTCCAACGGTTGAGGCGGAGAAAGAAGGTGAAAGGCATGACATGCACGAGAAGGTTGCCGTGGTTGAAGAAGCAGGGGTGTGGTCTGAGAATGGACCAGAGGAGCGCGAAGTGCCGCAGCGCCGCAGAGGGGATGAGCTCACGTCGGTCAACTACAATTACTCCATTAGCAGGAGGTCGCCCCCGAGGTCGTTCCCTCCGCCGCTGCCATCCATCTCCCGCCGTGATGGGCCCTGCCTCCAGATGAGGACCCATCGCCGCGATGGCCGCCTCGTCGTGGAGGCTGTGCATGTGCCTCCGCGGAACTACCTCCACGCGCAGCGCCAGGGAGGGCGCCTCCTCCTCTCCTTCATCGACGCCTCCTCCGACACCATTGAAATCGAACAACCACAGGAACAGCAGCAACCCATGGATCAAGCACCAGAGGAAATCGAAGAAATTGAAAATGTGGAAGAGGAAGAGGAAGTGGAAGTGGAAGTGGAAGAGAAGAACTGTTACGAGGAAGAGGAGGAGGAGGAGGAGGTGGAACTAGTTGCCAGGGGAACCGTCGTCGAGGTGACAGTGAGCACGCAACCCGAGCTACAGAGTAGCGGCGCCACGAAGGTCCTCTGGTCTTCGCTCGTGATCAACAAGTTCGTCGGCGGCACGTTGCTCAGCAGCAATGCTAAGCGCGAGCAGCCGCCGGAGGACCACGCTAGCAAAACCAATCTCAAAAGCAACAGCCAACTGCAATCCATCACAGCAGCTCCGGTCACGCAACGACCGCCGCCGACAACAGCCACAGCAGCAGCTGCAGCGGTGGTAGCCACCAACCTCAGCTTCTCCGACGAAGCATACAATGAGGACAGCTTGGAAGGAGCCCATGACGGTTGCCACCTGCCCCTCGACGACAAGCTTCTGTTCACCTCCAAGCGGAGGTGCAGCCAGCTGCGGAAGAAGTCATTGTTCATCTGGAAGCCCGATTGCATTGCCACTTCCTCCTGAGCTGCAGCCTCCCATGAATCCATTCCAACCATCCTCCTCATGATCTATCTATCTATCTATCTATCTATCTACCTACCTACCGATTTGAGCTGATATTATCATCATCATCATTAACAGAGCAATTTGTCGTCCGATTAATAAGTTAGAGCGTGTCTCGAGTCTCTCTCCGTTTGGCTTTCTTTCAGCAGTGGCTCGCTCTGCCGGTCTTCATCCTCTTTCGACTACCAGAGATCTGCTTGTTTTTGCACTCGGTGGTTACATATCGACACCATGATTTCTGAGGATTTGATATATCATCATTGGTGATCGTTCATGTTGTTTCTGGCTGGCTTCAGAAGCAGAGTGTGATGTTCCTCGTGGGTCTGCTGGAATGTATAATAATGAGAATAATAATCATATGTTATTCTGAGAATTGAAAGTTAGAACAGAGGCTGTGAAAAGAAGAGTGGCACTCATGCTGATGCATCAAAATAGATGAGGCTGAGAATTTTTTTATTATTTTTTAAAAATATATCTTATCTTTTGACTTATCCTCTTTTTTTTTTTAAGTTTTGTAAAAAAAAAAATCAATAGTTGTGGTATGAGAGTCTTCTACTTAGAAGATGACTAATTGGAGTATGTTGGTTAAAAAGAAAGGGAAGATCAGTATATCCAAATAATAATAATAATAATAATAATAATAAATATTAGAGAAAGTGTTTTTAATCAAATTCTTTCTATCTTCAAAAGTAAAAAAATTATCAATTTTGGATCATTAAATTGATAATTCCATTTATTTCATAAGGAGTGTGAAATTTGATAGAAAATAATTTTGTTGAGTATGATGTGTAAAATCTTAATATTAATAAAAAAATCAAATAAAAAGAATATATAAAAATATACAAGAGCTCTTTGTATGCTATAACAAATAATAGATGAATCCTTATTTTTCTAAATCATATCGACATCATCATCAATAAAAAGTCTAAAAAATATTAAAATATATGTTTGGAGGCACTAAAAAAGTTAAAAACTTTAAAACGTCAAATTCTTCGATGTGACTTTAAAACTCTTATGATAAAATATTTTAAATCTATCACTCTATTTTTTTTCTCTCGAGAGTCTCTTTTATTATGAACCAAATAAGATCTGAAAATTTAAATGATCAAATAGTAGAAGAAAAAATTTACAGAGTTTATCTTCAAAATTTGATATGATTTATTATTACTATAAAAGAAGCAGAAGATACAAATTTTATTATCTTGTGATAAATTAATAGTCTCATTTTCAATTTATAAACAAAAAATGAATAGATCATATGAAACTTCAAAACATGCTTTTCGAAAGATAGCTCAAAAGAAAGACTAAAAGAAAATTTCAAAAATCTACATTATCAAATACCAACTTGTTGACATCTTTACAAAAGTCTTGGTGAAAAAAATATTTATTTTTTTGAAGACAGCTTTATGTTACAATTATTTTTGAATTAAAGGGGTGTGGTAAGTTTAATTTAGATAGTTAAGATTAGATGAGATTAAAGATAAGGATTTAGATTAAGATAAATAGATGAGGGTGAGGAAATTTCTTCTTTGTTTAAAAAATATATATATATTTTATCTCTTGACTAATATAAATAAATATTCTTGAATAAATCTAAAACATTACAGGTTGAAAGTATACTTCGTTTATTTTATTATCTATTGCCTCTTTATCTTAAAGTTCTTCGTAAAGCCAACACTTAATAAAACACAAGGAACTGATGATATCATCTGCAAGTGCAACACAAAGACATGGGAAATGTCTTCTTCGTCATCTGATCTACCTGGACGGCACAGTGGAAACAGCGGATTCCTTGAAGAGTCAATTAGAATGCATATAGGTAGATGCAAGACATAGTGGTATGCCTTGGTGGAATCCGAAGTGCAATTCAAGTCGTCGAAGGGAGAGTTCTTGGCGTCGAAGCATCTTGGCATGTTTTAGTAGTTTTAGCTGTTCAACTCAGAGGAATGTCAAAGGAGGAGAGAGAAGCGAGATGGACGGTGGTATGACCATGGAATCCATTTCCAGAAGCAGCAAATGAAAAGATCGACTTTGGTAATTATAGGATACCTGAGCTCCGAGTAGCCAACAAAGTATGAGTAGTTTAGGTGAAAGCATCTCGTCATCTTTCATCGAAAGAAAGTGGCCACCTTTCATCGCATCTGTATGTGGAATCAATCGTATGGTTTAGTGGAATCCATTACGTAAAACCATACCTTTTCCTCAGACCACTCTCTCTTCCTTTCCGCTGGTTATCCGTCTTCTTTATAGCATGGAATTGGAGCATCGAAGCTATAGGGCTTGTCATGCTACTAATTCTCTTCGTCTTCCATCATTCCAATGTTCTCTCTCTCTCTCTCTCTCTTATTCTGATGCACATAAAGAGAGAAGCTAAATAATAGCTAAACAACACTGCAAAGTCAAGCGAAAACCAGTGGGAATCTGAGAACCGTTGCAGCGGTGTTACAGGCTCAGACAAAGATGAAGTAAGCACCAGGAAGACATAAAGGTCATCGTTCCTTCTCCTCCAAAGCTGATGAGCATCGAGGCAAGGGGGAGGGATCAGGCAGCACCAATGACAAGGGGGAATTCATTCTTTGTGGAATGATGATGTAACAGCAATTTAATTCATATATCGATAAAATAATAAATCTGATTGATCTATGCATATTTTGCACATATAATAAGCTCTTACGTGTCAAATAAATAAATATATATATATATAAGAGAAAAAATATATATATAAAAAAAGAGAAAATCATATTATTGAAGTTTACAAGATCTTAATTGAATATCTTAACGATTCATCTCTACAAAGACAGAAACATAGAAGCTTGTCACTCAAGCATGGCATAAAGAAATAAGACTCAAATCAATACTATCATCTTCAAAGAGAAAAGAATATCATATATTTGATATGATATGTGATTCTAGTTCAAGATAGATAATATCAAATATTTGATTTGATGCTTGATTCCAATTCAGTACTCGTTCTATCTCCTACTCGGTGGGCACTACTATCCAAGAGAGAAGATGGTGGATCGATTCAGGTTAGGTTCGAGGCAAATGGAAATCATCTCGGGTCCGAATCTAAGCGTGCAAATGAACAACCCGACCTAAACTGACGGGCCTGGGGACACTCTCAAACTCAGCTGCTGTTCACAGTTTTCTTTCTTGTTCTGCCTAAACAAAGTTTCTATGAATCTATATCTACAATAAAGCCGATCTCATCGATTTCAATTTCTTTTTCCTGTCAAATTTATGACGGCAATATATCTTCTCACGGTGAATCTTTTTCGTTTCTCGTCTGCCACAAACAATAATACTACATCGCTAACAGTGGCCTTAGTACTGCTACGTACGTACAACTCCTCCGCAGGCAGGTGGTGCGATCGACACAACGCCGAGAGGTACATGCGCAGGTCGGCGTGCATTATCAACCTTTCGAGCGACGACGACCATTGGGGTTTCTCTTCTCTTCTCTTCACATTAATACAACCCAACAAGAACAGCTACCGCCAAACCCCCTCCCCGACCTCCCCCGCTGGCTCAAGGACAGATGAGCGGTACTGCACACAAAGTTCATCATTAGTTTCTTCTTCTTGAATCACGATAGCTGGGCATTGTTGCCTCCCAAACCCTACTTTACAGTACATTAATTCTCGAGGGTTTCCCGCAAGAGTTAAAGATCTCGACTGCAGTGCAGGAAAACCCAAAGCTGCTTCCTGCGTCTACAACTTGCAAGATGGATCCGAATGACCAGGGAAAGCTTCTTCTTTCTATCTCCTTTCTGGTTTGCGTATCGTAGAGTCTGCTCTTGGAATCCGACAGCCCTGCCGAACAAATGTAGGATATATATGCATTTCCACTGCTGGATTCAGTACCCTAATTCCTGGTTTAACTCTTCTTCTTATTGTTGTTCTTCACTGGTTCTATCTGAAGTTGGATGCTTTTGCTAATGCTCTACTAGTCTCCTTTGCAAACTAACGAGTCATACAAATGTATCTGACAGTAAGCTATATATGTGTCTCAGATCTCAGATGTATCATACAGATATGTACGAGAGTAAGGTATTTTTGCTCTACTTGCTGGAAGATCAATTTCATTTTTGTTCAACCTTTGGTGATGCAATGTGTAAATAGACCTATCTATATCTTGTGCTACCTGTAGAAATAACTATTTGGAATTCCATCAAAGGATCTCTTCTATGTTTCTATGATATGAGGTTACAGTTCACTCCATCCACTGGATTTTGGGGTTAGGCATCACCAAGGTGCAGGTTGTAAGTACTTGAGATGGAGTGCATATCAACCTAGTTTGACTAGTAGTACTTCATTTCTGCTCATAGAAAATAGTGTGGAGAGTACACAGGTTTATTGACAGGAGTAGAATATAATTAGTACCTAAGCAGCCTGCAACATATATTATAATAAACTGAAAAGTCAATTCAGATTAGGAGAAAAACCCATCATAAAACTTAGGTATTAAATTTGGTCACCTCAATAAAAAAAGTAAATTTCTATTACTGTTTGAAAGATATTGGAACACTTTATCCAAGCTCTTATTTTTCTTGGTTTCTATCAATTTTCTTCTTCCCTAGGTTTGCTTCCAATGAGCATACTATCTCCAAGGTTCTTGTATTCTCTCTTAGAATACCTTAAAGACAATTGTCTCCAAAAATTTTCCCTTTTGTGTTCCCCTTTCTCTTCTCAATGTAATAATCCTCCTTTTTATTTTAAATTTTTAATTAATATAGCTCATATAATCTAGCTTCCATTCTATCTCTACATCATTCTATATAGTAATGTTTCAAATATCGGTTATCCTTTTAGTATCTTTTCGATGATACTAGACAGTGACATCTGACAAAGTATCAAACTGGGACTCAGATCCAGATTGGAGAGGGTTCATGAGAGCTTGTACAACAACAAATAAGCTTCACAAAAAAGCCTCAAACTTTGTTTAATCAAGAATTTTGGATCACTTTTATACATGCACATCTAGTCTTTCTGGTTTGGACTAGTTCCTTCAGTTGTCTCATGGGCAAGCTTCTATTTCTCATAGATGAATTGTCAAGAAGTTCTATCCTAAAGATTCTAATTCAATGAAAAGATACAAAGTTCTAAATATCATGTTGACATCTATATAAGCTCAATCTTAGTCATCCTTGTTGAGAAGCCATATGAAGACCTGTTGTCACTCTGACACATGTAGTAAGTCCTTGAACTATACACTAATTTCATATGCGAATTTAAAAGCATGTTCAGATCTAGAGTTCAAGTTCTCTTGGCATTAGTATGTACACAATCAAAAGCTCTCTCTCTCTCTCTCTCTCTCACTATTCACATATATATTGGTGAAATTAACATATATAAACAAACAGAGTTACACAATAAATATATAAAAAAAGTATGCATATATATATATATGAAGGAAAAACAGTCAAGACACTGTTGTGAATATTTTGTCCTAATGGTATTAAATCCAGAAGAGTGGTTCTTCCACAATGCTTGGTGCAGTATGCAGTTAAGCTTTGCTTCATAGGATCAATTCTCAGATGTTGTGTATGCTGGTACAGTTTATCATGACATAATTTGATATAAACATTGTGGGTTCAGAATTTTCAAGGAAAATGAAGTAATACATATAATTAAATTCAATTCTTTCAGGTGCTATTAGGCACTATTCTGGAATTGAGAAGGTCAACTACTGATCAACAACAGTAGCCTTCTATGCATGCATGATGTATTGAGTAACACACATAAGCTCCTAATTGTTTCAACAGGATGTTGATATTTTCTTAATTTCTTAAGATTGATCTTTTGAAAATTACCCCTTGCCAAATAACTCTTGTCTGTTGCTGGCAGCTGGTTCTTTACAAAGATTGACCAGTACTTTTAGGGTTCCCTAAGATCATATGAGATCATATATTTGATGGTCCATTGGTTGTTTACTGGTGACACATCGCAACTTTGATCACCATGCATCGAAGAAAAATGGCACTCACCGGTTATAACTGGATGAACAATTGAGTTACCATCCTAAGCTGCATGAGGTATGTCATGCTCTCTTTTGAAGTTCCTAGCAAATTTCATTTCATACTCAGTTCAGTGGGTTATTTTGAGTATTTCTTTGGTATCACATTTTTACATGAGTGTTCAATTTATGCAACTGGACCAACTAGATGACCTTTGCTATAAGTTGTTTGTTGCATGGTTTCTTTTCCATTGGCAAGTCAATGGAAACAAAGCCAATGTCTTCACCATTGGCTTTGTTATTACTGTAATGATGTCCTGCTTATTAACCATATGTGTCAGTCATATGTTACAACAAACACAGTTGTGCCTTTTAACTTTGCCATAAATCTTTCTTGTTCCCACTATCAAGCTTTGTGATTAAAAATGAAAACAAAGAGCTAATGAAGATGATGTTATAGCTACAGCCACAGCTGAATTGATTATTGTAGAGGACTATATACACAATGAACTCATGCTATAGAATTAAATCTGTTCTGTTTGGAACAAATACATTTATTTGATCAGGTTAACTAGAACTGGAAACTCAGCTAGTGAGAAGATATATGGCACAAAGAAAAATAGCAAAATTATGTAGGAAACTGCATAGCCATGCTGATGTATTAGAATTAGAATATGTAGTAGATATTACCAGCTTGATTTCTAGAAGTGTCCTTGACAATATCGGTAACAGTTTATGAAAATGATTTCATAAAAGAGGAATTTGAATGCTATGTTAGCTGAACTACTTGAGGCAATTGCAAATATCTGGTAGATGCTGTTCTTGACAGATGCTATGAATGTTCAAAATTCTTAGTTGCCACTAGATGTTCATGTATGAGACTAAACATGTTTACCAGGATAAAAGGATTTCACCAACCTATACATTCTTGCTCTATTGACATCCAAAAATAATGTTTTGAAAATGAATTGTAGATTCAGAAGTTGTCATGGAAATAAAACTAATCTTTCTATGTTGATCAATCATAGCCTACTTGTGGGGAGTTTTTGTGCTTCTGATTAACTTGATCAGCTATTGGTTTTTCCTCTATTAATGGATCCATAACACAATCCAGTATGGATCATACAATCACAATCTGAAATATTCATTTTTGATTCTTACCCCCCTGTTTGGAGAGAAGCATTTGTATATATATTGCAGATTATCCTTGTCATGTAAGTTTTCAGAATCCTTTAAGACTAATGCAAATGTTTCGAAATCAGAGATACGGATTTTTGAAGTTGAATCTACATCTTCTAATACTTCAAATGTTGAATTGCAAGAAGATGTTTCTGAATACAGATGTCTAATCACCAAGTCAAAGAGGGAGCCGAAGAGAAAAATATACTTGCAATTGAAACAAGCAGACAACTAATTATGTGTCCAAAGCAAAGATAATCGAATACAAAGATCGAGTTGGCATACCAGAAGAAAAGAAATCAGACTGACATAAAGCGTGTGAGGTTACATACTGTTGGTGATGATGGCCTCCCGAGGAACAAGAGATCAGCTTAGGGCATTCTTTCCATGTCTGATTGTTCTTGAAGGATGTTATCCATGTCGTTGCGGTCTGCAATCTTCTCGGAATAGCCAAAAATTGGGATCAGGCAGGGTCCATCTTGTGCTGGGAACTCGTAGTTTCTTTGATCGGATAACCTAATGCGCTGTGTGTGAGAGGAAGAACGTTGTCTCGCTTCCATTTCAGCTATGGATCCTAACAAGGATGAACTCAAGTTGAGCAAATGTGAACCTTCGTTCCTGGTGGCATGAGATGCAATTGTTGAGGACAATAACCACATTCTTCTCTTCTCTGTTGTCCTCTCCCTTGCTCTTGCCCTTGCTTTGGCCCTCGACTCCCGGGCGCGCATCAGATTAGACCCGGCATTCCCTGAGGGCTTGATCAATTGCTTCTCGTTCTTGGAATTCTTGACTGACGTGGCAGTGACCAATTTGGTCGTCGACTTGCCTTGGGAGTCGGATTCCATGGTCGATTTCTCCAACCCTAGAGTGAAGGACGCTGGGCTTTGGATGCCAAGGCCACCAAGTTGGGGATCGGAGATGGCGGTGAGTTCTTGGATGGCGTGTTTGGACATGTTGAAGAGCCATTGCACTGTCTTGCTGCCCTGGTCGAAGCCGAGCATGTCCTGGAGATCAAAGAACTTGCGGGCCACCTCATTGGAGAGCCGTATTCGACGATCTCTTGGTCCCTTTGCGGTGAGTATCTTGCTGTTCCTATCATTTCTCCACGATCTTTTACGGGTAAAGCTTCCACTGCGTTTCTTCCTCATCAATGGTGAAGCAGTAGCCAAAGAATTATCGACAGGAGGAAGAGATGGGGGAGAGGGTAAAGGAACTGCGCCAGTCACAGCACCGAGAGGAAGGGGAAGGCCGTCGGAAGCAAAGATCGGGAAGTAGGGGTTGCTTGGAGGAGGAATAGGGTTGAGCTCAAGTTGCTTACCGAAAGGCTTCTCTAAGGAGTTTGAGCAGTGAGGGAAAGGTAACATCATGTGCTTGGAATGAAGTGGTCTCAGACAAGCAAGTGCTGAGATAGGGCAGACAATGCAACCCAACGTGAAAGAATGGGATCGAGGAAGACGGATCTCAGTACCTTACCTTGAAGGAGCTCCACAGCATGATCCTGTAGAACCCCCCCCACCCCCACCCCCACTCCTCTCAGCTCAAGAACTACGGATAGGTGAAGCTGGAAATAAGAAGACAATGGTGAGAGGAAGGGAATAAGGATATTGAATCAAGTACGCCATCACTTTCCATAAAGCTTGCAAACCTCCTTTTCCCCCTTCGCTTTCCTCTTTGACACCCCATCTCTTACTAAACCAAAGAGTTGGTAGATGAAGAAACGCAATTAGTCCTTTCACCATCATCATCATCCTCTATATATATACTTCAGCTTTCCATTTATGCATGCGGCTTATCTCTTGACACTAATCGCGTTGTTCCTTCGTCCACGCACATGGCATATGGTTCCACAACGGGAGGACATCGTTGGATGCGGAAAAGAAATGGAAGACTACGTCGAGATGCTCTCGTGGCCACTTTTCTCGTTGCCCTCAGGGAATTAAGTCCATATAATTGTTCCTCATCTTGTCGTGTTCTTGCTGAAAGGTAGAAGAACCAATGGTCTTGATTTCCTTTTGGTGGTGAAGAGCTTGCAGAAGAAGAAGAAGAAGAAGATGGGCCTCCATGAGCTGTCTCTCCTACGGCACCAAAGTTGGAGCCCTAGTAAGGTTGGAAAATGAACTCATGCACTCGATTCTCGTTGTCGAATTATGATGATCACCCATCCAGGGAGAGCATGGTAAAAGAACAGAGATCCAATCGAAATAAAGGGATTTTTATCTTTGATCATCTCAAAGAGAAATTTAATCTCCAGTTGGTCATGTTCATGACTCTATGCTTCAGCCAGTGTTCATCGTATGCACTATACTATGCCTTCTGCAGGCCCTGAGACAAAGGAATCACTCTATGTAAAAGCTACAGAACAAACAAGTCCAGTAACATGCACCATATCAAAATGAAAGAGATACTCCTCGTAGAAAAGACAGACAGAGTTGGACACAAGTCTTCTGCTCATGAGCTATGGATAAGATGAACCGAGGACAATAAGTGATGTAACATTGCAAACTTTATGGAGGGACATGTGATCTCACATAAACAACGAACAGTAAATTGATTCACCCCTTGTTTCTCCTATGGCTTGTGAAGAACCCTTCCGGCTAACAAGGCGGCTTCTATCACCAGAGTCATCACCTCCACCACCTCCTCCACCATGCATTTGTTCCCCTTGAACGTGCCCTTACCGGACGCCCTCACCGCCGCGATGCAGTCGAGGAAGTTCTCGTTGCACTCCTGGCTCAAGTAATCATCTGCGACCCCAACACCGCTGGTTAGCAGCCAAGCAAGCATCACTGATCACAACGCAAGGAAACGGGGGAAGACAGTACGCTTGGATTGGACGCAGGCATCGTGCACCATGCAGCAGGCGTCAAGAGCATCACATGGCTTCTCCCCTGGGCAACCGCTGTACAGGATGCCACAATACTTGCCATATTTCAACAAGGGTGGCACTTGAATGACATGCGTATGCTATATGTTAATTCCTTAGATCTGATGTCGGTGATGTATCAAGCAAGCAAAGGGCGAGATCGATCTCTTACCGGTGCAATGATCAGACTGGCACTTCCTGCTGCACTGCTGCTTGCTCTGCAGAGAAGACAACCAACCTAATGGAATCCAAGTAATCCAATATTGAAATAAGGAGAAGAAGAGCAAGAGGAAAAAGGTGATTGATTCGGACCGCAGTGAGGCCGGAGTTGACAGACTGGACGCCGATGTTGAGGCCATGGAGTGGCGTGGCGGAGAAGAGCAGCAGCGCGAGAAAGGGATTGAGGATCATGACGGCCAGCTTCAGTGACAGCAGGCGCGTCGTCCTTCCGGCCATCCCGATTGGGTTTGACGCCCGAACTCACGCGCGAGAAGGCAAGAGATGAGGAGTCCGGCGGATGGGAGGGCAAGTGGTGAACTCGGAGGACTTGTGCTGGCTTTGTATTTTGCCGGGGGACACTGACGACGATGTGCTGGATTTTGTCCGATCTGTCTCGTGAATGAGCATGGTTTTTGTGGCGCATTCACCTACTGCCACCGAATCAACTTCCAAGGAAAAGACTTGCACTCGATCCTCCATATATATATATATAACCTACCCACGACGAAAGCTACGACTCAAAAACGGAAGAAGGAAAACGACAAAACAATAGGCGGAACGATTCATGTGGGCGGTGGAATAAAAGAAAGCAAGGAGGAGACCAGGCGCCGTGGCGATCGCCGGAAATCGTTCTTCGACGGAAACAGGATGCGTCGCCCTACTAATTGTTCTTCGATCCGTAAAGAACATACTCTTATTGCAGGGTCTCTGGTTCTTGAATCGGTCTCTAACACCAAAGAGGTGTAGGAAATCAACGGCGGTGGAATCAAGAAAGCATGAGAGAGAGAGAGAGAGAGAGATCTTGACATATTGTTCCTGCATGAAGTATCATGAGCAGATCAAAGGAACATCGTTTTGTTGATTGGTTTCTGGTTCTTGAATAGTGCTCTAACCCAGATGAGGGATTGGATGGTCGTTCTTCCTCCTCTTCCACCTCCGTTTCCTCCCCAAGAACCAGGTATTACAACTTTACCAAGTTCCTCTTGTCTTTCGTTCTTCTTTTACGATCGTTTTAGACCAACAGAGTGGAAACAAGGGATTTCTTGTCTTGATCGTTTATTCTCTCATAATTTCATCAACAGCTTATGGACGATTACTTGGAAATCCTCGAGAATGTCTCCTTCGCTCTACTTCGCCGTTAGGGCTTGTTTGATAGGACAATTTGTTCCTTTTTTTTCCCCCAAATTCTTGGCCTTTAGCCTGTCATATTGTTCCTTGGGTGGACTAATCAAATTCTGCAATATGGCCATATACTATTAGCGCATCAATCTGGTTCTAAGCGACGGGAGTAACTCCTAATCTTTCAGCCATTGAATCTCTGTTTCCTCAAGTCGGGGGAATCTTTTTATGCATCACGTGATAGCCAAGTGGTAATGTGCTTTGCTAGAATTTTTGGGGCTCAGAGCTATCAGATATGGGCATAGCTTCCTTGAAACATGAATAACCACAAGATTTGTCAAGAAGTCTTTAACTGCTGCAAGCCTGCAAGTTAGAGTCTTAAGTGATAGGGCAGAAGAAGGGTGGGGATGGGTAGGAGCATAGCGATAAAGGACCACCAAAAATGAAGGGACATGTTGGATATTTAGTAATCTAACGTGAGCCCCCAGATAGATGCAATTACAGGTGATGGAAGCTAATGTCATATATTTGTAACTTTGACTGCATGAATATGAGAGATTCTGGCCCCATAGTAATTAAACTTCTTCTTCTAAAATAAAAGTAATTAAACTAATCTATGACATTGATTTTACATGAACACAAATGATGGTGTCGCCTATATATGTCTCAAAGAAGATAGATTGTTGTTATATATAACATTCATATATCATGATACCTGTTGTAGGATAAACAGCGAACAAAAAGTAGGTTATTCATTGTCTTATCTGTTCTTCACTTCTAATAATTTGAAGTCTGTGCTCCACTAAGTTGCACATGTCGGTTGCTACATCCAGTTTTTTCTCTTTTTTATTTTTTGCTCATGTAAGTTTCAAGCATAACTTGTTAAGTATCCCAAGTTACTTTCTGATTGAACTTGGAGAAGATGGATCCTTGAAACAGCCAAAGGATCTATCTATATATATATATGCGTGGCCATGGTTTGCGTAACCATTATGCTTAATTAACATTTCATGTAGTACAGCAGGAATTGAGTTTAATTATTGGTATAATGTCGGTAACCTGTAAATGTCTTATACTGATATTTGAGTGTTTTGTTTGTGTTTGGAGAAAATCTTTTGATTTTCCTTTCTTTTCTCTATGACTACATGAAATAGATACCTGTAAATGTCTTATAGTGATGTTTGAGCCTTTTCATTTGCCTTTGGAGAAATTCTTCTGATTTCCCTTTCTTTTCTCTATGGCCGCATGAAATAGATTCTGGCTTTAAAAATTTTCATCATCAGATAACTCCTAGTGGCAGTGGTTGGGAACTTTTTGTTTTGGAGCCTTTTCAGTGATTTCTTATTACAGTTTTGTGAATTAATCTTCCAATTTAAGGTATCTTTTGGCTTGCATGTGTTGGATGCTGCTGAGCTTTCATGGAGTAAGCTTATGTTTATGTAATTTTTTGCGTGCTCTGTAGTAAAATTTCATTTCTTATCTTGGTGCTTTGCACTAAACATCTAAGATTTTGGAAATCAATCCTGATTCTCAATTGATTTAGCAAAGTAATTTTTTGTGTTTATTGCTGGCATATTCAGTTTGTGTCCTCCCTCCATTTTTTTCTGTTAAGATTGTAGACATTATTAGTTGAACAGTTGTGCACATCACATCGCATTTGCTGCTTGTGTATCAGACAAGTCCCACAACTAATATAATAAAAAGAATTTGTACCATCTATTTCTGTTTTATGAGTGGATAATTTTACTGGAATATTAAGGTTTTTTTTTAATGTGTATCAGGTCTTGAGATTGGTAAATTTTTGCATATTATGGTTCATTGATAAGGACTAAACTCAGAACATGTGTCATGTCATATCGATCATGAGAAGCATTATTGCAAAGTTGCACTGGTTTGTAGATGATTCAGAACTGGTGTTTTGGCAACTAAATGAGTCCAATGCCTTTTTTTTTTTTTTTTACATACAGAACTCTTCCAACTGGGGCCAGTTTTCTTCTCCAAATATTCTCTATGCATGATAAGAGAGGGAAGGCATCTTTCCAAAACAGAAGTGAGTGATCCTTCTTCTTCTTTGAAACGAATAGTTTGATTTCATATTACTGCTCAATTATATTATTTCTCATACCTATCCATGAATGACACTCACTGTTCCACCTTGATTTTGGTCCTATTTAATGTTAAGCAGGTACCGTTTCCAGATTTCTTCTTGTGTGCCTTTACACGAGAACTGAGCATTGCGAGTGCAGGTTGCATGTTGGACCAACAATGGGCCGGGCGCCCTCAGCTGCACGCTGCATCTCATGATGTCATGCATGCATTAGCACTGTTTGTGAACCTGGGAAGGCCACTTTGAGGTGGGGCAAGGAGTTATCACGAGCTCACAAGACATGGATGCCATGTGTGGCTATCAAACCTGCCTATTAATTGCCTGGCCGGGGTAATTTTACCATCATCCTTCCGAACCGGAGAAAGAGGAGGTTGGATCTGGGAGGGGGACCAGCGACTTAATTCCATTGTCGAGTCTCAAATGGACGGATCCATAGAGGGGCCTTGCTCTGCGGGCATACGTGTCCAGTCCAAACAGACGTGACGGGTTCAAATGCCACATTTTGGTGGATCACTTTGGACGGGGACGATGGCCTCTGTGTGCCTTCGAAGGAGAGGGGCCCTTTCAATTAAAAAGGTGGGGCCCGTTGCTTCCAAGGGTACAATGATTTAAGATCAGGTGCGGTCTAAGCGCAAGAAAACGATGATGAGATCCCTTCATCATGATGTGACATTGACGGTTGCGGATGGATGCCTTTTGGTGGTGTTTGCCCTTTGTATCAGCATCATCATCATCATGGCATGTCCATAAAATAAAATAAAAAGCGTATCCAACTTTTAACATGATTTACCGGAGTAAATAGCACCACCACTGGCCTTTATGTCCAAATAAAATATTTATAAAACGCAACAAGTTATTTTATATATATTTTTCATCTTATTTTCAAGATCACCCAAGTTGAAAAAGGAGCAACGGATCTTCTCTCTCCATCAAGCCCAAGAGTTGCAAGGCTAAAACCCTACACACTCTCTCTCTCTCCTCGCCACCGCCCCGTCCTCTTCAATCACCCCAAATCGACGCCGATGACGTGACCCCATTTACCATTCGTTTCCGTTGCCTTCCTTTCCGTCCATTAAATTCGCTTCTGCAGCTATCTACTCCACTCCTCGGCCATCTCTTAGACTCTCTCCTCATTCGCTCACCACCTAGCCACTACTGTTGTCATCCTTGCAGGTCTGATGGCGGAGGACGGCACCCACCGCCACCGCTTCCTTCTCTTTCTGCTCTCCCTACTCGCGTTCTCCACCTCCTCAGCCGTTTCCCGTCACTTACCGCCGCGGAGCACCCGGTCCACTACGACAGCCACCCTCGACGTTTCCGCCACCCTAGCCCTGGCCCTCCGTGCCCTTTCCTTCGACCCCGTCTCCTCCCACCACCCCCTCTCCCATAATATTTCCTCCTCCGCCATCTCCCTTCCCCTCCACTCCCGCGACTTCCTCCCCTCCTCCGACGGCCACCGACACCCGGACTACAAGGCCCTGACCCTGGCCCGCCTCCGCCGCGACGCCGCCCGCGTCCGCTCCATCGCGGCCCGCGCAGCCCTCGCCGTCGGCGGCGTCGCTGCTTCCGATCTGAAGCCCATCGCCGAGGAGAAGGCGCTTCCGATCGCTGCCGCAGACTCGATCGAGGGTCCTGTCGTCTCTGGGACCAGCCTGGGGAGCGGCGAGTACTTCTCCCGGGTCGGGGTCGGCAGCCCTGCCAAGCCGCTCTACATGGTTCTCGACACCGGCAGTGACGTCAGCTGGATTCAGTGCGCCCCCTGCGCCGACTGCTACCAGCAGACCGACCCCGTATTCGATCCCTCCGCTTCATCCTCGTACGTCCCCCTCTCCTGCGATTCCTCCCAATGCCGCTCCCTCGACATATCCGCCTGCCGGAACTCCTCTTCCTCCATCGCCGCCGCCACCACATCCGGCAGAGGCGGTAGCGAGGGGAACTGCCTGTATCAGGTCTCTTACGGAGACGGATCTTACACCGTCGGGGACTTCGCCACGGAGACGGTGACCCTCGGCGGGTCGGATCCGGTGTCCGGCGTCGCCGTCGGGTGCGGCCACGACAACGAGGGCCTGTTTGTCGGTGCGGCCGGGCTGCTCGCCCTCGGCGGTGGACCCCTCTCCTTCCCCTCCCAAATCTCGGCCCGCTCCTTCTCCTACTGCCTCGTGGACCGCGACTCCCCTGCCTCCTCCACCCTAGATTTCAGCGCCGCCTCCGCCGCTTCCCACTCCGTCGCTGCTCCCGCCGTGACCGCACCCCTCCTCCGCAACCGCCGGCTCGAGACCTTCTACTACGTCGGTGTCACCGGTATCAGCGTGGGCGGTGAGATGCTGTCCATCCCGCCTTCGGCCTTCGCGGTGGACGAGAGCGGGGCCGGCGGCGTGATCGTGGACTCCGGCACAGCGGTGACGCGGCTACAAGAGGGGGCCTACTCGGCGCTGCGGGACGCCTTCCGGGCAGGCACGGCATCGCTGCCCTCGGCCTCGGGAGTGTCGCTGTTCGACACGTGCTACGACCTGTCGTCCAGGACGAGCGTGGAGGTACCGACGGTGGGGTTCCACTTCCCAGGCGGCCGGGAGCTGCGGCTGCCGGCGAAGAACTACCTGATCCCGGTGGACGGCGCGGGCACCTACTGCCTAGCCTTCGCCCCGACCTCGGCGCCGCTCTCCATCATCGGCAACGTGCAGCAGCAGGGGACACGTGTCAGTTTCGACCTTGAGAACGCGTCGGTAGGCTTCACCCCCAACAAGTGCTGAGGCGCGCACTGGTAAGCAAGCAATTAGTTAGTAGTAGAAGTAATGATGATGGTAGTAAGAGTGATTGAGAACCAGATGGAATGAGGACAAAAGTCCAGCCTGTCAAGTAGTGTTTCAAATCTCTTTTTTCTTTTGTTTTTTGTTTTTTTACGTTCGTAATTCTTTTCTTTTTCTTTTTTTCGGTTCTCCGCTTTTACTCACTGCATTGGATGTTCGCTTTTAGCGCCGTGAAGTTGGTACGTTTTGAGTGTTGCTCGACGGCAACGGGACGGAATGGCGACGGAGCATAGCTGGTTGATAGTGCCCCTTTAGGAGCTTCCCGTGGATTGAGGCGATAGAACTTATTACGTACTGTTGTTGTCTGTTTGTTGGGGTTGTTTAATGGTTGTTGGGGGCAATTAATGCCGTTAAAGGTTGGTGGACGTTCAATTCGGCATGCAGTAGTAGCTGGTCACTTTATATCTTACCCCCACGGTAAAAAAATGTTCATACATGTGTGTGTGAGCGTGTAGTACATGTCGAGTCACTACATGGAATAAGGTGAGGGACCAGATGGAAGGAATGAGAGGGGGATGATGAGCGAGCACATGGGTGGGTGGTACTCCGGTCTCCCTCCGTAGGGACGTCCGGGCGCAAAACCGTGGAATTGACCACGGAATCTGGCGATGTCATCATCTTGTGTTGTTCCTATCCGCCGTGATCTTCGCCTTTTTGGCTGGAAGATAAATCGCTGGGTAGGCTGCCTGATGATGGTGGAGAACGAGAACAGATATAGATGTGTTCAAGGAATTGGAATATCTAGAACAGGTGAATTTTGAGGATGATAAATACTTGTTTCTCATTTTTCGTTTTAGTTTGTTCCAGTAAAAGATTGCAACGATGGAGTGCTCGATAATGAGACGTCCGATAGTTCGTTTGCAGCATATCGTTCCACAATAGGAATACAAAAAGGTCGTAGATATCATATTACACTCGTTCTTCAGGCAACATATCTCTCATGCTAGCTGCATCCATGTCCCGGGTGAAGCATGCGTCTGCGGTACTCGCGTCACCACCTTCGTCTTCACATGAACCATTGTGAGTTCCCAACCCTACCTCAGACTCACTCGTGTTCCCCCTCGTCCTCCATGTCCGACCACCGTTCCTTGTCTCAGTCGACACCTGCAAGTATGCATGCGTCCCCCAACCTGAAAACAAATAGTATGGTCTTGCTGAATGGACTGCATTTCCCACTATGTAATGCATGCCAAATTAACATAGATTTGATTCATCACTTTCAGGAGAGATCTAATAATACACACATTTCTTCTAATTTTAAGCTACGAAGGAACACACCATGTATGTGATGCGGCGGTGGATAGAACTGCAGGTAACAACACGAACCCGCCACTATTCCTGCATGAATACGGACAACAATCTCAACAATCCTGTCCTGTGAATTCTTAGCAAACGATGGCAATCGAACGCAGGGATACGAACCTAAAAGACCACCAGCAAACACGTCTCCCCAGTGATGTAAGTAATCATTCACCAGGGAGATCGACACCATGCACGCAACCAGTGGAGGAAGAAACACGAGGCAAAGCTTTGCGATGTGACCTCTGCGATCAAAAGCTTGGATCTTTCCTGCCAGGTACCAGGAGAAGAAGCCTAAGCCTGCAAATGACCCTGCGTGAAGATGGAAGCACAAGTCATTTGCAGCGACGACCATGAAAGGAAGCTTCGGTGATGTATCTATCACCTACATGAAGCATGGCCACTTGGAAAGCTTTTATGGCCATCTTTTATCATTCCCTTTCGCCCGTGGCATATAGCTCGTGTCGTGACGCTGTCATACACCTGCATATCTCATGTATAGCAGCAACGCAGAGAGAGAGAGAGAGAGAGAGAGGATGAAGCACCTCTTTTCCATCAGGAAAGCAACGCCAGAAGAAGTCGGGACGAGGTCGGCCAACCGCGTCCTTGACGGCGTCGGTCACCATCCCCGACACAAGCACCGAGTACAAGATGCCTGAGTGATTCATACGTCGTCAGCTAAATCGTAACAAGATGAATCTGGAAAACGATTAATGTTACCTAGGATTGCATGATGCAGATCATAAACATCCCTTCTTCTGAAGTAGATAGCTACGAAGACCAGACAAGGAAACAGGACGGCGAAGATCTGCAACGCAACGAAGGACTATGCAGAGCTCAAAGGAACCGTCTTGTTTGGATGGAGTCAAAGCAAGAACATACAGGAACAGCCCAGAATGGCACTGTGGTGCTCTTCGGTGGGTACTTGAGATCGGCCATCATGTCCTTCCCAACGAAGCGATCGAATGGATCGACAACATAGAACACGAGCTCAAGCGCGCCGAGGAGAACCAGCATAATCCAGTCATGCAGGTGGAACCTCGCCACCTTTACTCCATGAGAAGCTACCGTGTGAGCACCCAACTCAGTATCTTCCATTAACCTTGGCTTCTTTCTTCTCGCTGGGAAATGAAAGCTAAGCATGAATTGCTCTGTTTCTGACATATTATGTTCGTCTCAATCAGCATTTACTGCTATATAAACGAACAAAGATAAGATCTGAAATAGAACACATCGAACTCACTGGATCACGCACCTGATGAAACGTACACGGAAACAAAGGAAGCTTGCTCCATTTCCAGATCAATACGTGGTTCCAAGTAGAACATCCTTATGCTACTCGTCTACACGCGTGCTCTGATTCCTGTCAACGCGTGTCATGTCAACCGTTTGCAGTAGAGAGTCGAGAGCTATTCGTGGCGATGGTAGCGACCGTTCCTTCCCTCTGATGTGTGGTATGATTGATGGAGTGAGCAAACATGTACGTATGTGATACCAATTTAATGATTCGTCTACCATAATGTGAATTTCCAATTCAGCTTCTAAAGGGCAAATTCTTCGATCATTAAAGACAGATATATGGATCAATTTCATATATATTTTTCCGTAAAGTTATTCGTGATGCTAATACAATATATTCAAGACAAGTTGCAACTTCATACTTGTTTGTAATATAAATTTCCATGGCCAAATTTAAATATCAGAATAAAATCATTTTATTGACCACGAAACACACACAGATTTATTTCTCACACACCTACGCATATTTATGGTAGTAATATGTATGGATGCAACGCATATCAACCAAACATCTTATAGCAACTCTTCCTCCACCTCGTAAGACCGAACCCCAGACACCAACGCAACAGCCAGCTGCTGCCGCACGCGGAAATCAGACCTCAACCGGAGATCTCGACGGCCTTCACCTCAGGCATCTTCACCTCGTGTTTGGGCACCGTGACGATGAGCACGCCGTCCTCCATGCTCGCCTTCACCTCATCCACCTTGGCGTTCTCCGGCAGCCGGAACCTCCTCAGGAACCGCCCGCTGCTCCGCTCCACCCGGTGCCACTTGTCGTTCTTTTCCTCCTCCTCCTCCCTGCTCCGCTCCCCGCTGATCTGGAGCACCCTGCCGTCCTCCACCTCCACCTTCACCTCCTCCTTCTTCACCCCCGGGAGGTCCGCCTTGAACACGTGCGCCTCCGGCGTCTCCTTCCAGTCGATGCGGGTGTTGGCGACGGCCCACGTCTCGCTCGGCAGCGACTCGGAGAGGGAGCGGAAGGTGTCGAAGGGGAAGCCATGGAAGGGGTCGTCGAAGAGGTCAAGGGAGAAGGGGTCGAAGACGTTGCTGCGCCTGACGATGGACATGCTTGATGACAACCTCGCTGCACGGCTGGGATCGCTGGCTTTTAAGTATCCACTCGATTCCTTTCTCTCGCGATTGATTTGGCTCGCTAGGTGGAGATACATATAGATCGCGTGAGAGGTGGAAGCTCGTGGAGTCTCTCGACATCTCCTGAACTCTCCAGGCCACCATGTAAGGACGGCCCCAGAACAACACATCAACCATATGATGTAGAACCACCGAGAGAGATGAAGCAAGTGATGTAGAACATATTAGAACATATTAGAACATGTTATCCTTTTGAAGTAATGGCAGAAGTAATGGTCTTCTCTGTCTCGCTGTCCACGCTCGTCATTGTGATCCTTTTGACAAGACACACAGCAGAAAAAGAAAAAAAGGGAAAAAGACGATGCGTTTGCTGGCATCAATCTGCGGCGCTAAGAGCACGCTCGATCTCTTCCAAGGACCGGCCCTTGGTCTCCACTACGTTGCCAGAAATGTACAGAGCTGCAAGAACGCATACCGTTGCAAACCCCAAGTATACCGTGGCGATTCCGAACCTATTCACGACGCTTAAGAAGCAGAGACCGATGACAAAATTGGAAACCTGCGGACATGAGGATCCAAGTTAATATTGACAAAAGAGGATAATACGAGAATATAAATTAACTGAGAAGATTAGCTAATTAGGTGTTTGTGGATGGAAGGTTATGCTGAGTGAGTGCCATACCCAATGCATGCCAAGAGACAATGCGACTGCCTTGGCTCTGATCCTGGAGGCAAATATCTCAGGGAGAAGAAGAGCAGGTACAGGACCAGCACCCAGTGAAAAAGACAGCACGTATCTGTTGCATCGCAATTTAACAGATTCAAGTGTATCAGATGCGAGCAAACAACAAAAATCCTTCAGAAAGTAGGAAACATAGGAGATTGACAATCGTAGCAGAGTGATACTTCACTTACAGGACAGTGCCAAGAACTGCAAGGGTTCCTGAATATGGCGCAAGAGACTTCCATGCGAAACACAAGGAGAGCAGCAACATGGAAGCAGCCTTCAGAAATAACAATTACAGTGCAAGAAAAAATCAGCTTGAGAAAAAAAAAATATTTTTTTGAGTAGAAAAGTCTAATAAAATTTTTTGTTCTTCTCGAAAGGTGTCTTCTGCAACTTTGCACTCATGTACTTGGCTTCCTCGCAGTTATCCGCGTTCATCGAAATGCTAGCTTGGATGCAGTTTATTAAAAGTCAAACTTTGCCACAACAATTTCATTCAGACTGCAGAAAATGTGATAAGTAATTTGCAGTTTATTAAAAGTCAAACTTTGCCACAACAATTTCATTCAGACTGCAGAAAAAGTGATAAGTAATTTGCAGTTTATTAAAAGTCAAACTTTGCCACAACAATTTCATTCATACTGCAGAAAATTGATGAGTAATTTGTTATGAGGGAAAGACTCGACTCCTCGCATGAGCAGTTGATGAGCATATGTTCAAGCACATTCAAGCCTTTGTGTTATATTCATTAATCAAGAACTCTAAACATTCTAGGCGGGATCATAAATAAACCTCGGAGACCTGCTTATGCAACATCAGAAGAACGATATCAAGTACCATACAACCATCTATGTGATATTGCCCGACTCCATTGACCCATTTTTTACTCGAAATAGATCTTCTCTTCTGTCTAGCAATAAAGCAGGGGCAACTACTACACTTGAATTAACCTTTTGCTTTGGGACTGTTAAGTTCAAGTCTGCATCCATATAGAGTGACAAATGTTTATAGGAAACCCTTCCATAGCAATTCTTATCACCGACATCCTTAGCGCAAACCATAGTCCATGTAGTTGCCTCTTGATGTCCCTGTTTAGTGTTCATTTGCTTAGCTTTTGGGACCATAATTGCTGAATACTCCTAACATGATGTTTTGATTCCTCGTATAATTTAGAAGGCTACTGCTCAGCACTAATTGTATACCGTGCGCAAAGATGTTTTATTTAAAATTCAAAAATTGCTCAAAAAATAAGTTCTGTTGCGACAATATCGAACTGCAATGTGTGAATTCAGTTATCGCAATAAGCTGATACCAAGAACGGTTCTATGTACATTCAAGATAGTTCAACTTATTAAATTCTTCAGCATGAGAAAAATGTGTTACCATGCCAATAAAACTCGTGATCAGAAGGCTTTTCCTCCCCCGTTTGTCCATCAAAGAAGAAGCAATGATAGTGCCTATAACAACATCATTATATATATCAAGGTTTGTGGTATGTGGAATAACTTATGTCAGGAATCCTTAATTGGACATATGGAAAAACATACCGAAAACATTTGATGCACCAACAAGAGCACTAGCCGCAACATCAGAGGAGATTCCTGCACTGCGAAATACAGCTGTAGAATAGTACACGACAGCATTTATTCCAGCCAATTGTTGAAACAAGAATAATGCTGCACCAACACTCACAACTGCAGTTGGAAATTTCAGAAATTTTGTCTCAGCGAACAATTTAATTTCACATTAATATTGACTGTACTTTGATGAATACAGCTATGGCACAGAAACAAACAACGGCATGAACATGTAGCGTCTCTGTTAGAAATCAGTTAAGACTAAGAGCCTGAATTCGTCTAAAGACTAAATCCATCATGAACTGTAACAATCAAGTGTCAATCCCGGTTATGATTTTATTACAATCATCAGTTCTATAAGGTGAGTTTGGTAAAGAGAATTAAAAACATATTCATTATAGAAGCTCAAATATGCAAAATTAAAAGGTAAGAAAAGTGCAAATATTAAAGAGATCAAAAGATTATAGACCAGTGATGGGAGTACAATTTAGAGCACCTTTCCAATAGCGTTTACTGAATAGATCAATCCAACCAGCATCTGGTTCAGTTGAACCTTCACCACCTGCTCTTAGGCCATGCATAACCTCAGCAACCTTTTCTTTTCCATAGAGTTTCTTCATAGCTGTTTCAGCCTGAGAAAGTTTCCCTTGCTGCAGTGCAGAAGATGACATGGAGGTTTGGCGTGTGAAAAAGAGATTAACAAGAAGGCCACAACTTAAAGGCGTGTGTCAGCCAAGAACCTGAAACAGCCAGCGAGGGCTTTCTGGACAAACAGCCATTCCAAGTGCCATTAGCACAGCAGGAAAAATTGCAACGGTAAACATCATCCTCCACCTAATGGTAGGACAATATAAGATAACTAAATATACAATTAAAGGTAAAGTATTTAAAGCCTATATTCTTATTTTTTACAAAATAAAAAGAATTAGCATGATTAATATGAATGTCACAACTGCATGACAACACCATGAAAAATAGCAACATAAATAGAGCTGATTCAAGTTTATGATGAAGACACCCGACCGCAACACCAGCAGTGTATTTTCCAAACTATCAAGATTGTAAAATCAGAAATCTATCGAATAGCAAACACAAGGTAAGACAATTTAGTTACCAAATAACCCCGGCACATTGACCTACAGGATCTATGTTAACTGATATGATTACATTTCATCCAAGCTCCTTTGTCCAATCAAATTTAGATCAGGAATGTAAGTTACCACTAACATAAGAAAGACACAATGAAGTCGATTACAAAAAGCAATTCAACAGAGAATTCAAATCTTAATAACATCATGTAAGACATTTTTTTTTTAGCAGTTCTAGTAAATGACCTCCTAACACAATGAACAATCTTGACAAGATAAGCTAATAATGGAAGTACTTTGACAATGTTCGCCATAGTTTAAGTTCTAGTTAATCAAGCAAGGGACATGCAAAAAGATATCTGACAGTTGAGGAACATGCACCATTTCGGATTTCCTGCCAAAGGCAATCCAGCCACCAAGGCCACAAGAATACCAATGCAAATGAAAAGTTGGTTGACAGATCCAAGCGCTCCACGAATTTCAGTTGGTGATATCTGACAGCGAAAGATATTTCAGCTACGTAAGTGTACATATCAGCTCATGAGCTACGATCAGCACATTGGATACAAAAATCAGTAACCTCTGATATGTACAGTGGCACAATGGCAGAAGAGATTCCAATTCCAAATCCAGCAAGTAATCGACCAATTATCATTGTTGGTACATCTTGGGCTGTTGCACTGCAACCAAAATTTCCATCAAGTTAGGCACTGTATATCATCACTAACTACAGTTACATAATGCAATTGTGCCGGTAACGAAACCTGAGAAATGCACCAATTACAAGCGGAATGGCATCAAGCTGGAAAGTTCGGATTCGACCTAATTTATCTGCCAATGTTCCTCCGGTAAAAGAACCTACAGTTGCACCGGCAAGGGTTGTGCTAACGACCCATCCTGCATGTGATTCAAGATTAGAAAGAGCGATATAGGGAACATGGAACAAAATGAAACATAATAACCCAGTAACTTGATAATTGGCCATGTCCTGGTCAACACCTTTTCGATACTCAAAGTAGCATTCATAAGATTTTACACACATAGATAAAGATTTCTCTCGGCCGAACTAGAAGATGCAGTTTGATCTGGTAACCAGAAAGGATGAGAAACGAATATACCTTGTAAGACAGTATCTCTAGCAATTCCAAGATCCCTTGCAAGATATTCAAGTGCCCCATTCACTACACTGCAACATACAAATGCAACAACAACGCAGAAATTAAGCAAACTAAATTGCAATAGAGCACTGAAATGGGCAAAGTATTGATGCCTTTGAAGGACCAAAGAACAAATGGCATTTGCTACTGCAAACATGTTTCATTCAGCTTCTGAAAATTTTGGTCTAGAATAATGTACATTAGATTGTTCATTTGAGAAACATACGCAAGATGATATCCAAACAAAAAGGCTCCCAAGCAGGCTACACCGACGTAGGGCAGAACATGGCCGGATGGCTTCGTCTGAAGCTTATCAGTCGGCACATTCTCCAGGTCACCTGATTCAGAGTTGACAAGAACAGAAGCATAGCACCCAATGTGAGGACAAGTCATGGTAAAGTTCTTGATCACAAATTCATTCTTCTAGCTAAAGAAATCCTTCCCATTAACCTATCAACTTCGATCATTCAACTCAACCCACGATGATAGATCGAACAAGAAATGTGTCAGATGAAAGGGCAATTCAGAGATCACAAAGTAGTTCATGAAGAGACCAAAAATTGAGCAACAAAACGCAATATTTAATTATAGTAAACGATCAAGAAATGTCGGAAGAACAAACCGGAAGTCTGGGCCCTGACATATCGAGCTTTCTCACGAGACCTAAAAATCCCTTCCATCCTCGTCCTCACCCGGGCCATCTCCACCCCGAAATCGACCGGCGAACCTCCGCAGCAGAATCCACGGTCCGGCATCGACAACCCGTTCGATCTTGCGCTCCTCTTCTTGACCAAGCCAAGCGCAGCCTAAACCCTGTCCCGCGACCTGGAAACTCAAAGGCAGCGACCACACCGTTGTGCACCATCTTTCGCTACGAATCCCCTCCTGTCATAAATACAGAAGAAAGAAACCAGATCGAAACCGCCTTGGTGACAGGGACAATTCGGATCTCGAGGAACGAAATAGCAACGAAGACAGGCCATTCCATTTATTATTATTATTCTTGTTAATGGAAAGTTGACTTTTAGAGAAATTTGGCAAGAAGACGGATGTAAATGCTGCAAAGATAGAAAAAGGGGGCGATCTTGCAGAATTTTCCACCGATCGATCTAATCCGAAGTGGAAAGACAATACTTTTGACGTATCCTCCACACCTCCGTTTGCTGAGATCGAGAAGCGAGAGAAAGAGAATGAAGCAACAGAAGCTTCGCGATCGCCGCCATTTTGACGGAAGAAGCAATCTTGACAGGGAGATTATTTTGTTACCGAGAAGTAGGGAAGGCAGCGGGGAGTTGCAAGAATGACGCCATGTCGGGCGTCCGTCCTGTGGTGGAAAGATCAGTGAGAGAAAGGAGGAGGAAGAGGGAGTCTGGATTTAGGTCGGTGGGAGGTGTTGGATTCTGTGTACGTGTACGGCCGTACGCGCCTTCCAACCGCTGCGGCGGCGTACGGCGGGAGGATCCGAGATGAACGAACGCTCCTTTGCATTGTTTGCTCATGTCGGTAGAAGATCTATGATGCGTGGATCGCAGAAGATGAAATGGTGTATAGATTTGTTATAGTCATCGGAACACACACCCCTAAGATCATGCTAAATTCCATGACAAACTTGCTTTTGGTCATGAATCGAAAGGTCAAGAAATCAGATCGCCGTCTCAGGCAAGTGTGCTGCGCGTGCGACGACCTAGTCGAATCTAACCGCGTACAACAGGAAGATCCAAGAGGTGTGCATGAAAAGAGACTCGAACCGCTTTACCTCATACACCAAAACAAGCTAAGTTCTTTCAGTAACAATCGGCGATATCTTCATCGATCAGTGTCCTCGTTGTAGATACTCGATCTTTCTAACAAGTTTACATAGATCTCGTTTTGGGGTTTGGTTTTGTCTTCATTGGCTCTCTTTAGTGATCACTGATTAAAACAGGTGAACCTCCTGCCCTGTGATTGACGAGTTCTAACCATCTACACAGCATCGTCAACTTGTACGAACTATGTTAGATGCCCTTCTGCAGTATTTTCTTTGGATTGGGAGACGAACACTGAAGCAGAGTATGAGTCTCAAGGAAGAGCTGACACAAACCAAAATACTGTAAAAGCAATCTGTTTTCTACTTTCCTTCAAGAGCAAAAAGAACAAATTAATGCTCATTTACTGCTTGAATCTAATGGTCAGATTTTGGAGCACATATATGTCCAAGAGCTGTAGATGTGTTCCGTGAGCACCCACAAGCCGACTACACAAACTCGATTTGCCAAGTTGATCTGCTCGAGAGCTGCTCTACACATCGCATTCATATAGTGGTGGAAGAACTTGTTCAGGCCTACTCTAAAGGCCTCCTTTCTCATCCAAACACTTTCTTTTAGGCGCTTGTTTTCTCTTTCCTGTAGTCATGGAAGAGTTTCTTGAGGACTCCGGCTTGGAGCTCACCCGCAAGTTTCCAGAGCTAGAAGGCCCTGCCATGGAGAATTCAAGCTTGGAGTTGATGTGCTATCCTCAACAGAACTGCTTATCTCATCAGCCGGAGTTCTCGATGCCATCCGTTGATAACCTGCTGTCTAGTATGGTGACTCCTGTATCCCATGCCATGGTCTCTGCTGGACAGCAGAGTCATGGAGACCAGAAAATGAAGGTGACTGCAGAACCTGTTTTTGGCTTATCATTAGATTGTTCTAACTCGGGTGAGAAATCTTCTGTGCTGAATATTTTATTGCAGAGCTGCGGGATCAAAAAGAGAGGAAGGAGTTTGCAGAGAGCGAGCGAGCCAAAAGAGGTGGTTCATGTGAGGGCAAGAAGAGGTGAAGCTACTGACAGCCACAGCCTAGCTGAGAGGGTACGCACGTATATGATGGACCAGCATTTATGTCTCGCATTTTAACCAAAATGGGGCTTATCTTTACTCTCTGTTTTCGATGTGGTCTCAGGTGAGAAGAGAGAAGATCAATAGAAAAATGCGATTTTTAAGGGACCTTGTTCCTGGTTGCTGCAAGGTACGTACGAGAAACCAAGTGAGTTCTTGGCAAATGTTATGGACACTACATGTTTCTGAAGAGAGCACTTCGACGTGTAGGCGATGGGTATGGCAGGAATGCTCGACGAGATAATTAACTACGTGCGGTCACTGCAGAACCAGGTTGAGGTAGGCCAACCTCTTCTTCTTCTTCTTCTTCTTCTTCTTCTTCTTCTTCTTCTTCTTCTTCTTCTTCTTCTTCTTCTTCTTACGTTCTTAATCCTATATGCAAACATCGTAATCTCTTTAACTTGGTGTTGATACAGCTTCTCTCCATGGAAATCGCAGCAGCTGCTAGTTCTTACGACAACAGCTGGGTTGAAACGCCACAGGTAATGAAACTTATACGAGGATTTAGATCTCACCGAGGGAGTCGTGAGAAGGGTTTAAGAACAGAGTATGTCGAGTGTTTCGCTTGTTCTGCAACTAAGCTTGCAGGTTGATGATGGAAGGGGACTCTGTTTCATGAATGATTGCAGGTGCATGACGCATCCCTGGAAGAGGAAGGAGGTGTGACAGAACGAGGTGATCGCACCGGCGTCCTCTCTGCAGTTGTCTTCTACCAAGTCTCCATGCATGGGACACCTGAAGCGCATGTGTAGGGCTCAACGTACCTATGAACTGAGACCATCTCATTGGCTTATCCTTCTTCTGGTGTATCTATCCATCTCCTCCTTGCTCGCTTCATGGCTATTTACCTTCTCCAGTAATGATCTTTGTCTCCACCATGTATCTTTTCTATTTCTCTAGTAAATTATCATGCACCCTTGTCAGGACAAGGAAAGCATAATGCTGTCAAATCTGCCACCCATTTCGCACTACTGAAGCGAGAGAACTGAGAACTTCCCGTGTTGTTTTAAAGAAAGAGAACAAGAACATAGATCGAATGCTAAGATAAGCTAAAACTATTGATTGGATGAAGATTACATGATGGTAAAATGTGTTGATAACATGGTGAGATTCCATATGGTCTCTCCAAAATTAGATGCAAGTTGTGGAAGAGCTTAGATTAGAAAGGAACTCAAGTACGTGCAGGCCTATCCTAATATTGTTCTACTTCCTCAGCGAATCCTACGCGCAATAAACTTGGCTGTGTGGATAATGATCACCGGATCGACATCAAGCAAACTGGCTGATGCTGATAATTAATCATCAAAGACTCCATGATGAATGATTAAGGTTTTGTCTCTCTGTCTGTCTCATTCTACCTACCAGGGTTCGAGCGACAGAAGAGGGGAAAGAGGCCATGGTGATGAAGCAGATGCACAGCACGACGGTGCCTGCCATTGAGCAAACGTAGCTTTCCTCTTTGGAGGTGTGCATCCAAGGTGGGATGCTTGAACAGGGGACCGGCCATGGACTGCAAGTGAGGAAGGAGATGCTGTGGGAAGATTCAAATGCACCTAAATGCGACCAATCAACTGCGTGTGTGTTTCGAGATGGTAGGAAGCATGGGAGATTGCTACTTCTTGGCATTTACTACATAAATAATTTGATCTACTGTAGGCAACAAACATCAAAGTCCAAAATGTACTCAAATAATTTCTGTTACGGTGTCATTATCATTTTGACCAACCGTACTAAAATCATTTTAGAAAATATTTTTCTCATCGTAAGTAATCGGAGATTTAGTTTAATAATCGTTTCGTCGTTCTTTTCTTTCAGACATTATTATTCATTTCGTGATCCTAATTTATAAATACGAAATCTTTCAATCATCACATAGATTTTTATTTTTTTTTATGTTACTATCCATCTCGAGAACTTCGTTATCGCTCGGGTATCGAATGGGCATAGTCAAAAGTATCTCGATAGTAATACTCACTTATGAATTTTTATCGATGATCGTCCTGATACTATCAGGCTCAACTCAACGCATAATAGGATGATCATTGTTATAACAAGATTTAAGATTGAAATCAAGTCAATAATTATCTTCGTAATTCAGATTGACATTCAACTTCAGAATTAAAAGACAGAAACTTGAATTTTCTATGATCTGAATGATTCATGATGTATAGAGTCAATAGCCTTCTTCTGATTCTGAAAACAATATTCTCGCTGAAGATTGTTAACTCAGTAGCATAAATACTACCATTATTTTTTTCACTACTTTTAATTACATGTTTTCCAGAAAAAAAACAGTGTGATGTTCTTTTATGCTTGCTGCAGAGCTCATAGGAATGAGCCGCCATTCTTGCAAGCACTGCATATAATTGCAAGCAGCAGAAGGCAAACAAAGCTCAAGCAACAGCAACCTTAGATTGCAGACACTGACATGGAACATTTGAGCAGTTCCAAATAGAGGTTTTATTATACTAGACATGAACATGAGATTGCCAAACAATTTAACAGCACAAGATAGAAACATATGTTCTTTTGCATGCTACCTTTAATAGTTTGGATTGGCACACTTCAGAATGAAGCACAACAAAGCAAAGCCAAAGGATGCAACCTTTCATCCATCACCCAAATATGCGATTGAGTGTTGCAGCTAATCTAACTCCACACTCTGCAAGCCTCAGATTCACAACAGGCAATCTACTCAAGAAATAGTCATCTGCATGCACCATTTTCCACCATCCGATTAGTCCTTTTTTGAGAAACAGAGAGTATGTAATGCTAATCAAAACTTCTTTTCACACTGACCTTCCAACTGTGTATTGTTCTTGACATCCTTGTATGCCCAATCACATGCTGCCTCGATGCTCTCAGATGCGTATCTGTTCCGATTCAAAGACAATTTGGTGTCAAGGTGTTCTAAACAAACAAAGCTAGTGACTTCTGAATGTAAAAGATATGCTACCAGTAAACAGAGGCTAGTAGAACGATGAAGTATGAGCTCATATGATGTTTGTACACTTCTAATGGAGGCAACACAACCAAACACAAAAGTGTAAGAGTGACCTACACGTCTGGACATGCGACTTTGTTGTCGCTGCATTTCTCCCATTTCGCAACTTGATCTGACCACTCTCCCTGTGGACAAATTGGACCGAAATGTGGCTCCATTAGATGTGTTGCAAAGCTCTTGATTCCTGTCAACCAACTACCTCACCGTGATGTTTTGTTTGATGGCTTCAGTGAACTCCTCCACGTTGTCGTTGTAGAATCGCTCTTCCGCTGTCTCAATGATATTGTCATCCCAGACCTGCATGGTGGTGTTTGGTGTCATAGAGAGAAGTCTGAGCTTTGAGGAATCGCGAACTATGATACGGTGGTTGGAAGTGACAAAATGATTACATGGTGGAGCACTGATTTCCTTCTGTACCAGCGGACGTTAATGGTGTTTCCTCCTCTGTCTGTGGTAAAACCTACATGCAGTGGCTGCAAAGAATCCTTCAGCAGGTGGACTCGAGCGAGTAACCACAAAGCTACTCAGATCGTAAAGGTCTGTACCTGATGGACATCACCCATCAAGTGAGCAAGGAACAGCAGTGCTTCCGTGAGATTATCTGGAGCAGCATCGCAAATTTAGCATTTAACTTCTGGAATAGGAACAGGAATTAAAGCAGGTAGCTTTGGATCGAATATATTTACATTGGGATTCAGAAGAAGAGTTTCCGTAGTCGAGAAGCTGATTGGTATAGTTTGTGATGCCACCCGAGACGCACCTGCCCTTCACCCCATCTTCATCCTTACAGTCCCCTGTCGAGAACCAACTTAGTTTCATCTTTCGAAGATATCATCATACTATGAACCGAGACAGAGTTGCCGGTCTGGTGCTCACGGTCGTAATCGTAAGTGCAGAGGCCGTCAGGTGTGTCGATGTAGTGCAGCGGAGAGGACCACCTGTATCGGAACTTGACACGATCCGCCCATGAACAGAGGCGGCTGAGATTGTTTTTGGCGTAGTTTGGGAGCAGATCCTCCACTGCAGCTGCTGCGGGATCACTTAAACGATCCTACACAAACAGATAAAAGTTAGCAATGCTCCCACTGGTTTGAAATGCGTGCAAAAGCAGAGGAGTCAAAACACATGACATGAGTGCAAAAGCAGGGTAGATAATGGGAACAGGCAGGAGCAGTAGAAACGAGGGAGAAGAGACTAACTTGTGCTATCTGGCAAATGATGGCATGGCCATCTACTCCCCAGCCGTAGGCGAAAGCTGGGAGTGACAACAGGAGGAGGAACAGGGAAGCTGGAGCGTAAAACTTGAAGCCCATCCCTTCTCAAAGGCGGAGAAGGCAGGAGATCGAGTTGGGAATACCGCTTTCGATCTCTTTAATAGCCAAAGAAAGAGACATGTCAGATCAAGACAAGCAAGAAATTTCCACAATGCTGTCATTGTGCCAGACTTTAAATTGCTTTGACACCACCTCCGTGTAGCTGTTCACATTGAAATGTTTTCACACCTTAGTGTGACAATGATTGAGTACCAGGTTTGATCTTGAAGAAATGAGCATCACTTATTTCCAAAGAAAAAAAAGTTAGATGATGATGATGATGATGATGTGATCTTTTTGGGTATCTCTCTGCTATTTTTCTCATCAGGGAAAGGAAATCTTGACCATCCATGACTGGTCAATGGGATTAGAAAAATAGGCAATATATCTTAATGACAAACAGCTAAGGAAAAAAAAAATGTAACTCCTCAAACTTTTGATGTCTTTCCTTTGTTAGAAGATTCCTACTTCAAATATGGAGTGCAAATTGAAATCACATTTCATGGGCCTTTTTGCAATCTCATGGCAGTGGAGCTTTGCCATTGTTTCTCTTTAAGCATCCGTTACGACCTGTGAATTCATGGGGGGTATAAATGACACAGGGTGTCAACATACATGGAAAGGAAGGTGTCCTGTTAAGATATGATCTTTGATAGGTTGTCGCCATGATATGCACTAGAATAGGATTTATTTGCAGCACAAAAGCTTGTAATTGCCTCCTTGTGAGGCCATAAATCACTGACTTGTGCTCAATTACATGAGTTGGGTTATACTTGCCTATATAAGTCGAATCATGCTTGGTCACATAATTAGATCGTGCTTAGCCACATAAATTATGTCGTATATGATTATATCGATTGGGTCATACTTGCCTATATAAGTCGAATCATGCTTGGTCACAGAGTTAGGTCGTGCTTAGCCACATAAATTATGTCGTATATGATTATATCGATTGGGTTATGCTTGACCACATGAGCTAGATTATGTCTAACCATATGAGCTAGATCCACATGATTTGGGTTATGCATAACCACATTGGTTGACTACATAGGCTCGATCATGCCGAACCACATAAATTTAGTCATGATTAACCATATGGGCTGGGTCATATCTAATCATATAGGCTAAGTTATGTTTGACAATATGTGCTAGGTTATATCTAATCATATGGGTTAAATCATATCTTTAAATATAAATTGGGTCATATCTAACCACATAAGTTAGATAATACTTAACTACATAGACTAATTCATGCCTAGCCACATGCCCTGAACCATACCTTACCATATAGAATGATCTACTAAATCAACTTAACTCAAGTTATGCCTTAATTTGACATTTCTTATTAAATTAGATTTTATTATTTTTAGAAGTATTTTTAAAATATTATAAAATAATAATTAACCTTAAATCTAGTTTTTCATGAATTAATTAATTTAGGTTCATGATTCTAAATTTAAAATTAATTACATCATATAAATTCACACATAATTTCTTAAAGCATAAATATATCTAATTAAATATATTAAAATTATTATTTAATTAACTAATCATTCTATCTTCATAATTCAATGATCATTATTTATTAATTATAAAATTTTAAAATTAAAATATTATTATGCATCATACAAATTATAATTATTTAAATATAAAATATGAATAAAAGTTGGTAAGAAAAGAATAAACGATTCTATCACTCGTTGAGGATCCTTTACTCAATCCATACTACTAGGTTCTTGGAGGAAAAGATGAACTCTCCTCATTGTTTATTTTTATTTATTGTTATTTTACATTCATATATAAAGATAGAATTATAGTATTTATTTTTTATGGTTTATACACAAAAATAAAAATTAAATTATTTACTTTCTAAAAATTACATCACCTATTAAGAAATAAATCAATTAATAATTTAATTGATTGAGAATATTCCTAACTTATCTTCATGAATAAAAAATTAATTTTAATAATTTCCTTAATCATACTACACAAACAAGAAAGTTCATAATTTAAATAAAATAACATATTAATTATTATAATTTAATTTATATTAAGAAAAAAAATCATCGATGATTATATTCCTCCCCACTTAACAAAAATTTAGTCCCCCGAATATGATATGAAAAGTAATATTAATTTAACATAATTTGCACTTAAAATACTAAGTCAAATAGTAAATCTAAATCAACTTGAAAATAGTTAAATGTAAATGTGGCACTTAAAAACTTTAAGTCAAAAGATTTTTTTTTAAAGCATAAAATATATTAGAAATTAAGGAAACCCATTCAATAAATTTGATTTTAGATCAGTCATGAAAAATAATAATTAATAAGCATATCAAAATATACATCCAATAAATCATTAAAAATTTTAAATTTTAAAAATTAATTAGTTGTTGACATAAAATAAAAGTTGAGACAACATTTGTAAATCGACAAACAAAAGCAGGATGAAAATTTATCTACCTATTAAACATATATTCTTTTATAATTCTAAATAACTTATATATTATATACGTCAAAAAATAAATATTATATTTAATCCTTGTTACATCTCATCATTGTATTAGATAAATTATATTTAATAATTTATTTGACACTTATAAATTAAAATTTCATTCAAACTAGTTACACATATAATTAAATTTATTCAACCACAAAAGCACATATATTATGAATGTCAAGAAATAACTTCATTTATATAAAGCATCCTAACATATGTTAAATCTAATCTCAATTTAAAAATAATATTTGATATAAAAAAATTATAAGTGTAAATATTTTTCAATTTATATATTTATGAAAGATCTTACAAAATTTTTATATTTTAAATTTGTCAAAAGTTTGATCTGTGACAAAAGTGAGGAAGATAATCAATAAAAAATGAGAAATACGATCTCTAATTAGTAAAACTAAACATTTTAACCACAAGTATTCGTAACAATATGTTGCAAAAGTGAGGAAGATAATAAAAAATAAACCACATAATAATTAGTATATATATTCTATTATTATTTTTATTAAATTTACTTTATTCATAATTATAGATAAGATTAATATTCTAGAATGTAACAATATTCAAAAAGTAATATGTCAAACTATAATAGAAATTATGTCAAACTTCAACTTAAAATTTATAACAAAATTATATAAAGGAATTCTGGGTCTTCTTAAAGTTATAATAAAACCATGCCAAATTTTGTCATAGTAAAATTATATGCATAATCTACTTAAAATTCATAATAAAATTACATGAATAAGCTATGGTTAAACTAAAATGTAATACGACTCATGCAATAAACCTTTTTTTTGTATAATAAAAATTTAAATATTTTATAGCGAATATAACCATTATATAATATTTCTAGTTAGAATACCAAATTATTTTTAAAAACTATTAGATATAAATCTAACCAAGTCAATTGATATTTATTTCATTATTTCAAATACATCTTAAAAGAAAATAATATATTTTATAATCTAATTAAAATTTATTAATTATGTTCAAAAACTGGATAAGAATCTCACAAAATTGTATCTAAAATATAAAATTTTATAAGAGTTTCCATGAAAAAATATTATAATATTTATTATAATTTAAAGAAAATATATTAACATTTTTACCTTTTACTTAGTATTCTAAGTTTAAATCATTTAATGAGACTCTCATTAAGTAACATATTTAATTAATTATTTTTAATCTAAAAATAAATCATGTTTGGCTTAGTAAAATAATCTTAATCTCTTAAAATTATGTTTTATTTGCACTGTCATGTCAACCCAAAATCTAAATCTCAAGAATTAATTGGATTATATAATATTTTAATTCTAAGATCTTATATTTCAATAGGTTCTCAAAACCACTACTTGCATGCTATTATGTTATCACATTCCATACTTTAAAAAAAAAAATATTATTTTATTATTCATAATTTACATAAACTATTTTTTTTATCTTTGAATTCAAATCTTTGTCTTTACAATACTAAATATTTTTTAACTAAAAAATATATATTTTTTAATAGGGCCACAAATAACAAAAATGTCTCCTTCACCGAAGCATCCGATCTATTATAAATTAATATGTTACTCTGAAAATAAATATATGATAAAAACAATGAGCTTTTGAAAAATCATAAAAATAATCTTTAATATTCATGAAATATATATAAATATTAATAATTTAATATGAAATGATAACATATCGATTCATTATAAAACTTATATATTAGAAAAATACTAATAATTCTTACGTAGTAAATAAAATCATGCATCAATCATATATTACACATCTCGATGGCATACATAATAGTCATATAACAAAGGCATACATCACACCTGATTATATATTCTTATAACAATAAATGAATAGGTATAATTGAATAGAGAGAATCAATATCATACTCTCAATAGTAGATGTAGTGATATCCCTCACGTATCATAGTAGAGACAAATTTCTCTCAACAATGAATGAAGAAATAATCTAATCATCACGTTTAACGCTCACTTATTTTCAAAGAGAATTACTTTACCTATCCTTCATAGGGTACATAGTCAATCGTGATCATTCATTTACATTCATGCATGCATCCAAAAAATAGTATTATAAAATATTATGAGAGATCATACTTGACATATGACTAATTAACCTATATCCATAGGTAGCTCTTTTCATGTTGCACTTACAATGAAGAGAATCTATATCACAGTCCCAATAACGAATGGAGTGATATCCCTTACTCATCTAGATGGAGGCACGTCCTCTCAACAACGGATGGAGGAATCGTCTAATCAACACGTCAGTTTGCTAATTCTCGAAAGAAATCACCCCACCTATTCTCGACAAGGATAGTCAATATAATTATTTATTTACATTCATCTATTTATTTATGCATGCATCCAAGAAGTAAATTTGACCTAACAATATGCATTTGTACTTAGCCAAATGGGTTCCATTATGCTTAACCATATGGGCTGAACCATACTTGGCAACATGGGCTAAGTTGTATCTGACCACATGGGTTGGTCTGACCAATCAACTTAACTCTAAGTCAAATCTCAATTTGACCCCTCTTATTAAATTAGATTTTATTATTTTTAAATTATTATAAAATAATAATTAATATCAAATCCATTCTTTTTCATGAATCAACTAATTTAGATTCATGATTTAAAATTTAAAACTAATTAAATCATAAAAATTCATACATAATTTTTTGAAAGATAAATATGTCTAATTAAAGGAATTAAAATTATTATAAATTAACTACTAATTATAACATCATAATTCAATTATTATTATTTATTAATCATAAAATTTTAAAATTAAAATATTATTATGTATCATACATATTATAATAATTCTAATATCAAAGATTTTAAAATATGAATAAAAACTAATAAAAATAATACCTCTATTCGATGATCCTCTTCTCAGTCCTCCATTGATAAGGAATGAGGAAAAAGAAGCCTCTTTATATAGAAGAAGATGAATTCTCACTAAAAAATAAATAATAATTTAATTTTTTTATTTTAAATTTATTTTTATTTGACTTTCATACATAAAGATAAAATTATAACATTTATTTCTTATGATTCACACACAAATATAAAATTTAAATTATTTAATTTTGAAAATCAAAATCACTCATTAGGAAATAAATCAATTAATAATTTAATTTATTAATAAAATTCTTAACTTGTGCACGTGGGAAATCAATTTTAATCATTTCCTTAACCATACTGCACAAACAAAAAAATTAATAATTTAAATAAAAATAATATATTATTTATGATAATTTCATTTATGTTGAAGAAGAAAAATCATCTATGATTATAATATCAGCAGTTAGGCTAATAAGAAGCAGTCCACATTGTCAAGCACTGGCACAAGCATGTTCATTATAACAACATTTCATCATGAAACCTTGCTGTTCAACAATATGTTCTACATATGAAACCAACCATATATATAGAAGAGAATTAAGCATTACATCTGATTGCATTATTTGTAATCCAAAACAGTGTGAACGAAAGTTGTTTCCTTTTTTCCTTTTTCATGAGCAGAATAGATTGGAGAACAAACCCGCACTCGTGCAAGTTCAAATATCAGTGCGGCCGATTAGCCCTCTTGGTCAATGACCTGGTGATGAAATGAGAGAAAATCCCGACCGGGCAGAAAAGCAGGCACAAGGAGACTGAATGCCGAGTCTCAACATTGTTCTTTAGACCATCATGGAATACCTGCCTGTATAAAACAATAGCAGAGAGAAGAATTATTATATGATGCATTGTTCAACTCACAATAGCAGAGTCACACATTTGTCATCGATGATGAAGTTGACAAGAAAAAATAGATTGAATTCAGTATTCAGAAACTATTTGTCAAATTTGACCCCTGAGAAAAAAGAGATGAACTCAAATAGAAAATAAAAGCAACTTATAGAAGACCGGGACTTTCATTTATACGATATGTTCCTTTCCATGAAACTAGTCATGAAGAGACAGAATGAACGGAAATATCAAAAGAATGATAAGTAGATTTGTCATTATGATCCATTTTTCAATATGATATATGATGGATGATTCAGAAACAAACCATACAAACATGATATTTTAATCATAGTCAATCTGCAAATGAAAAGTTACATAAATAGCTTCTAGCAGAATCTTAAGATACTACACAATTATTCAGGAACAATATATACGGTTCCTAAGTAACCAAATAATTCCTGTTTAATTCTGGCTTATTTTGGAAAATATGAACTTTTTGGAGTATCATTCGGCTAATATTCAGTAAGGAAATTGTCACTATGCTTCACCGGATGATTTTAATGCAAAGGGAGAATACAGAGGTCTGAAGTAGAACCTTGCTGCAAAGAGGTCAACAGCCAGCAAGTGAATCCATGCCGAAGCCATGGTCATTTCATTGGAGAACATTTTTGCTATTCCAGATAACTGACGACATCAACATAAGATGCATTAGACCACACAGCACCGAAGATACTAAATCTCATAGCTTACTTTATGCCGAGCACATACCTCAGGCAGCCAGTATTTACTGGCAAACATCGTGCTGAATGTGTCAGGAGTCCATGACAAATACAGAAGATAAGCATATACAACTCCGAGGGCAACATATGGCAAATTGCTCTCCATGGTTCTTCTAGTCTGTATTTTCACATAGTAAAGGTATATAAGTTCGGAGTGATGTTACGCTTGAACATGGGCAAACGAACATGCTCACATATTAACTAAATTTAAGTCATTTTCACAACAAATTCTGCAAAATTTTACCTACCAATGCGGCTTTAGGAGCCAGAACCATCAGAGTGTAGAAAGGAAGAACAGAAACTGTGGCCCAAGTGAATGCATCGTTCGCAATCTGTGAACTTGTAAGCCCTGTCAAAGGAATTTGACTTAATATTTAGCATGCACAATCTATGGCATGTAGGAAACCCAACTTGGACACGAATTATAAACCTTGCTTGCATAACCACACAGAGATGTGAATCATTATATTGTGGACATTAGATCGGAGTAAAGAAGGACTAGTAGGCAAAACATGATGTAATCATAAATGCTAGCAAAAAGGAAAAGGTTTTACACAGAAAGGGTTAGCCATAGTAAAGTAACATGAAGGAATCAGAGAGGGGTTTTGCAACAAAATGTAGAAGATTTCCAATAAATCAGTGAAAATTTTAAATCGTGCATGATAAGCAATATTTTAATGAGCAACAAGTAAGATTGGAGAAATGTCAAAAGAATATGCTGCCATCATCTGCACAGATGAACTGTTCAACAGTCATGAATAACATGATATCTACCATCACGAGTTATTTAGCATTCACCTTGACTTCAGCAATGCATGGATTGATGTTTTAGTTTGATTGGATTATCAAGCAAATGAGAAAGAATGAGCGATGTGACATTTCTTAAGACTAATGCGGACGTCGCACACTGCAAGGTCATTTTCATAGCGACTCCAATCATCAAGAAATTCGCAGAGTTCATTAATGTACCAAATTCAGTGTAAATAATAGTCCATTAATGCACCTCCTTTTGTGCTAAAAGTTTAAGCAGATCTATATCGATTGATAAGCACAAGTAGCATCAAGAATTAACAGGTCAGAAGGTTGAGGGAATTACAACAAGCAGATGGCCGAAACGTTCTTCTATGATGAACGATTCTCGAAACCTTGGGCATGTATTGGATTCTGGACGCCCCAACGAAACCCCAGTGAACCTGATGCTTGCTGCGCAGATCCACAGCACTGAGGAATTCACTGTTCATTCGTGCAACAGCAGATATCTGCTCTGTTCTCAAAGAAATTCTCAGCGGTGGTGCCTACGAGAAGGAAAAATCAGGACAAAGAGCCAAATATCCTACCATAAGAAGGAAACAAAGCGACTAGAAAAGAGGGACGGGGACGTGACGGTACCTGATAGAAAGAAGGCATTTGGGGTGAGACGAGGGTATTGCAAGGGCAGCAGAAGAGGGGGGTCATCTTCTGCCGAGGGCAACAGAAAGAGCAGCGGCGACAGCACACTGAGGGACTTTCCCATATCCTCTGCCTCCTTAAATAATATGGAGAGAGGCTGATGTTAGTACAAGCTACAGTTTCTTCTCTCTTCCCCTCTCTCCCTCTCTGACTGACAACTCAAAAACCACACACGGACACCGAGAGAAGTGGCGTGACTAGCGGCTCTCCGGTCTTCAACGGGAGCCCAATCAGCAACCAGCTCGTCGGTGGACTCGGTGATTGTGCCCATTACGCTGACATCGCTCAGACAGCTGGGTGGTGGGCGCAGAATCGAGGGTGGCTGAGGAGAGCAATAGACGTTGACTCGATTCAGTTGACTGTCGGAAACAAAACGTAACGTAAAGGTTACAAGATCTAAAACTCCAATTCCTTGGATTCCGAGAAGCATCACCATCAACGAGTGACCAATCGTGCAGAGGAAAAGGAAACGGAAACGGAACTCTCTCTCTCTCTCTTGGCTCTTCCGGGGGGAAAGGTAAGGTGCGAAAGGAGGTGGTGGGATCCTTCGACGGCGAATTGGAGCCGCCCCACTTTGCACAAGGGGTGGAGGGGTCCAGTCCACGGCCACTGCTGTCGCGGTCATGAACGGTTCAAGTGGGCGCCCACATTTAGCGAAGAGGACGCTAAGAGTTTTCTATCTTGAGGACACGTACACGTAAGATTGGGTGCTGTAAGTTTCCATGAACAGTTGTATGAAAACTATATATATATATATATATATATCCTACAAAAGTAATGGCTAATATTGTCTTTTTATACAATCCAAATGAAATAGTTACGAGACAACTACATGGAATCAGCGGTATTTTTGGATCGTGGAGGCATACATTGAACTGTGAAATGTTACCATTACAATACAATGACTAATGTTAATTTTAAAATCTTGATTAGACATTTTGTAATACATCATATAAATATATATTTATGAGTTTTAACTTACAAGGGTCGGATCTTAGTCAAATAAGATAACTAATAACTTTATTAAATTTTAATTATTAGCTTAAAATGTTTAAGCTAGTAATATACTGATGGTACTCCAGTACAATTAGATTTTATAGGTTATTATAAAAGATATTATAATATTTATATTGTACTCTTATGTTAATATCAAAAAATTTAAAAATTCTGATCTTAAAATCAATGAGTCTTAAATAATTTTATTTCTCAAAAAGAAAAAGATTCTTATCTTAAGATCAAAAGCCTTAAGCAATTTTAGCCATGACATGACTCCAACTCCACTCCGCATGTAAATATGTTGTTGGTGTGAACAACTTTGAACCGTGGCCTCGGGGTCGACGCGGCTTGGTTCGGATCCGAATGGTGGGGATCTTCCTGTGACGACCCTGGAGACCGCTGAGGCGGCCGATTATGATGGTCCGATCGGGACGAGGTCGTCGTTTCCTTCGGGCAAGAACTCCTCGCATGCGCGTCCGGTGGGGACCTTCGGCTTCGCACCTGCACAAAGGTCGGGTCGGGGGAGCTCGGCCCGACCCCTCCGACGATCAAGTCAGATGAAGTGAAGAGGTCTTTTTTTTTTTTGTGTTTCCTCCTCCCCTCTCGTTTAGAATGCGAGGGTATTTATAGTGAAGCTTACTGTTTCCTGACGTGCCTGCTTGCAGGGGACAGGCTCGTACTCCTGGTAGCGTCTGACACTGGTATTGGCATGGCGTGAAGGATCGGGCCCTAGTAGGACGTTAATGCACCTCGGCCGGCGTTCTGGTCCGTTTGACCAGGTGTTGTCGGGTCGATCGAGGCGTGAGGCGTCATCTGGGGCAGCTGACGTCAGCCCGAGTCTTGTCACCATTATTATCCTCATCATATTCCCCCCCCCGGAAAGAAGCTATACGTCGGTCGTTGTAACGAGAGTCCAAGGCATGGGTCGGCTTTCAGTATTTGTTCTTGCCGGGCGGTTGCTGGTCCGTTGCTAGGGGCGCGGTCCGGATTTAGCAAATAAGGGAAGCTAGGCATGAGGCGGTGGTCTCGGACATCATGCAGCTTGAGGAGAACGTCTTAGGCGG